CTCCCTCTCCTCCCCCTTTTCCCCAATCCCAATCCCCATCTCTCTCCAACCCCCCCAACTCCATCTCTCAGACTACGAAGCCGAGCTCGTCCTTGTCATCTCCCGTCAGGCACGTGATGTCCCCCCTTCCCGAGCGCTGGACTACGTTCTAGGCTATACTGGCGGGAATGATGTGAGCTTTAGGATGCATCAGGCGGCGGTACCCCAGTTTGGGTTCTCGAAAGGGTTTGATGGGAGTGCGCCTTGGGGTCCGGTTTTGGTTCGGGCTGGGGCTATCGGGGACCCGCAGAATTTGGGCTTGAGGACGACTCTGAATGGAGAGGTGATGCAGGATGGGAACACCCGGTTCGTTCCCCCCCCCCCCCCCTCCCCTTGAACTCAGCCAAACCACTGCAGGGGCTAACGCACGCGCACGCATACGCAGGAACATGATCTTCTCTGTAGCGGAATCGATCTCCTTCCTCTCCCAAGGTACTACTCTCCAGCCAGGCTCGCTCCTCTGGACAGGCACGCCCGCCGGGTGCGGGTTCGCAAGGAACCCGCAGGTAGTGTTGAAGCATGGGGATGAGGTGAGGGTGTGGGTTGGTGGGGGGGTGGGGACGCTTGTTAACTCTGTGGAGGAGGAGGGGAGGGAGAGGGAAGGGGAGAGGGAGAGGGCGAGGCTGTAGGTGGTAGGTGGTAGGTGGTTTGGGGGGAAGGGGAAGCAGGGAAGTGGGAAGGATTTTCTTGTGCTCTAGCTATCGGTTGGATTGGAAGTACAACATTGGATCTTGTAGCGGACGGCGACTTGATTCTCCCTAGTATGATACATTTCGTTCTCGTTCCCTACCCACTGCCCGCGTAAACGAACTTTAACGTACTGTAGCGTGATCCTATCCCATCCCATCCATTCCCCTTCCAATCCCACGCATCACCGAACCCACCCCCTCACCCATAACAGCACAGAACAGAACAGCACAGAACAGAACAGAACGAACAGGAAAACACCTCAGCCTCAGAATAACATCGATGCCGCGACGTCCAAGTTCCCACCCGCCATCTCCAGAAGTCGGATCGCCTCTTCCCTCGGCACGCCCATCTCCATAAGCGTCTTGATCGCCGATTCCGGGAAGGGCGTAGGCGCATCAGTCGCATGAGCGGGAGCAGGAGCAGGAGCAGTGGGAGGAGGAGGGCCGCCTAATCTCTGCCCACTAGTTGGCGCTGAGCTGGCAGGAAGGGCCCCAAGCCTCTGCCCCCCTCCCGGAAAATGTCCTCCAGCTCCTCCCCCAGAGCCCGACGCAGCGCCTCCCCTCTCCCTCTCCCGCTGCAACAGCTCCTCCGGCGCATAATAATTCCTCGCATGTTCCGGCAGCTCATGTTCTGGCAAAAACGGGACTTCCCGGCCTTGGATCCTCAGTACTCCTTTTTCCAAATCGATGATCGCCTGATGTGCTCTGAGCATGTCCAGTCCAAACAGCAAATCCACGTCCCTTCCTTCCATGACAGTGAACGCGCACGCCAAGTGCAAGTCCGCGACTTTCATCTGCGCGCTATGGACTCGTCCTAGGATCTGAGCTGTCCCGACGCCTTTTGCGATCCCGGAAAAACGTTTGTCGAGAAGACGCATTATCCCGCATTTTTCGGCGCAGGAGGGACTGATGATCGTTGATTGCGCGCCGCTGTCTACGAAGGCGACCACTTTGACGCCGTTTACTTCCACGGGGATGCTGTCCAGAGTCCAGGATCAGCACCAGGAAGCAGGGGGCACAGGAATGCAGGAACAGGAACGGGACGCACTATAACATCGTCACCCTCCCAAACGCCTCAGGGGTATACTCCATCGCATGCTCCAAGTTCTCCAATACCGCTTCCTGCCTAATAGCCTCCTCGATCCTTCTCTGCGCGTCGATATCGAACGGGTCCGCATTCAGAGCGGCGACGTTCCTTTGCCGCTCGGTTTCGGCAGCACGTTGACGTTCCATGTGTGTTGAGAGCAGCTGGGCCCAGCGGTGGGGGTCGCCTTGTGCTGCTTGGGCTAGCTCGGGTTGGGTCTAGGTATACTAGTCAGAGAAGGTACGGTGCGAGGGGGGAGAGCGGGAAGCGTACCTCCCGCAGCTGCTGCATAAGTGCCGGGTCACCCAGCACCTGCAGGCGCATCATCTCCGCATCCTGTTCCGCCGACCTAATACCCTAAGCCTGCGCCTTCCTTCTTCCTTCCATAAGCTCGTGCTCACCTGCCAGCGACGAGCACCCGCCTGCGAATGACAAGCATCGCGTCGTCCCGTATACCATACTCTGTCACTGTCTTCTTAGGATCGGTAAGGTCCTTGCCCTCGTAAGAGATATTTTGTTCCGCTGCTGGGATGCCGCACTGTACTCCGATATCAGTACTGTATACTGTATACTGTAGTTGGGTGTAGGTGAATGAGCGAGGCCGTACCTCTGCTTCGAGGAGGGCCATTATGTTCTCCAGCTCCATCTGAGGGTCTATCTCGATCGTGTACGTCTGACCGAGGTCAGTGGCGAACGTGAGGCGCATACTGACGAGTGTGGTGATGATCAGAGGTATAGAGTAAGTAAGTAAGTAAGTAATGGGTGATGCTTGTATTTTGATGGGACAGTGAGTGGTAAGTGCAGGTAGAGGCTCGAGTTCAAGTGATGAAAGGCGCCAAAGCAGAAGCTCTGGGCGTTCACAGCCTTCACAGGGGCTTACCCCGTTCGTCCTGCTATTGAGGGTTAGTAATATTCTAGTACATTCTGCATGAGCCAGGTATGGTATTGGTCCTCAATTGGTAATTGGTAATGTATTGGGGAATAGACTAGAAAAAAACAAAGGAAAAGGACGCGTAACACTTTATTACAAAGAGGACAATGACGCGTTCATATCATCCATCAAGGGTCGTTGCGCAGCATCATTGTCGAAGAACAGATGAAAGAGATTGCATATTGATGCGTAGGTAGTTTACATTGCCATAATGTCGTTAACAGAGCGCCCCGGGTCAATAGTGTCTTCCCAGATGATTCCGAGCAAATACAGTGCTGAATCTCAGTCAGCATCCGTTCTTCCGCAATTGGGCAAACTCACAGTCGTGACGGAACAGCAGGACGAACAGAGGTCCCAGCAGCCTCCTCAAACGCCGACGTAGAGACATCGCTGATATCGCTGAAGCTCGATGATGTGGACGGTGCGGTGCTGTTGGCAGTCCGATCGCTTGTCGATACCCGAAGCTCTTGTCGTCCTCGTTGGAGGACAGATGCAGGCGGGCTCAGAGAGCTCTGCATGTCCCCCCTGCGAGCTGTTCCCTGCGGTGGCACACCAGCCGAGGGGGGAGAAGTCGGAGATGCTGATGCAGACGCTTCGTATCGGTCTGTATTAACAGAGCTGGAAGCTGGTGATTGTGGCTTCTGGGCAGACAAACGGGTCCGTACGGGAGACGGAGAGACGTGAGACCGCGCCGACTGGGCAAACTGCATCGTGTTGGGATTGACGAGTCGCTCGAGCTCCCGGATCCTGCGTGATGCTTCCTCTTTCTCCATCGCCTGCTGTTCCTCTTCTTCTTCCGCAGCGCCTTCGTCGTCCTCGTCCGACGATGAGCCGGACTCGATTGCCGAGAAGGACCGTCCAGAATTGGGAGGATACAGAGCTCGATGTGTCATCGTAGCAATAGAAGAAGACGAAGGTGCCCGGACATGCAAATCAGATTGGTAGCCAGAAGCTCCCAAGCGGAGCGTGCCCGCTTTAGGCGACAGGTGCAAAGGCGAACCTCGCCCACCACGAAGAGTCGAGTTCTGCCCAGAAAGCCGTCGAAGCATCGCGTTGCTCGGTCTTCGCTCCTTTGATCCTTCAGCTGTTTGAGCATCGGGAGAACTGGTCATCGCCTTGAGGTGCTGGACTGCCTGTAAACCCTCCTCGAAGCGCTTTCCGGCTCGGTACAGCAGATAGGGAAGGGGAACTTGTAGATGATCAGCAAGTGCAGACCCTTTACCTAACGTTAGCACCTTCTATGACGGCCATAGCATACAGACGCACATTCTATCGACGTCCCTTCTGAATCCCTGTGCTTGGCGATGACCTCCCAGAAGAGCTGCTCGCTATCCGGCGTCCAGTGGATCTATACAATGCATGAGTGATCGCCCTCTCACATATCCTGCAACTCAACTGACTATTGGCGGATTGGATACTGATCCATCTTGAGGTCTGTTGTACGGTAGCTGGACGATGAGCTGAACAGGTTTGGACATTGGTTGGAAGAATGTGGCCAAGGTGTCCTCTACGGTCGACCCTTGCCCATTCACAGAGGTGGCTGTCCTCTAACGCTCTTTACCTCACGACCAACTGCTGGCTGATAGGCGCATTGTGACAGCGTGTTGATGGGCTGCTATCCCGGGGCATACGCTCGCTATCAACGGAAATCTGACTGGTTAACTTGAGTACAACTCCTGGTGTCGTACCGACGTGGACCATGCTGCGCAATCCGACTTGATGGTTCTGAGCACTGCCTTGCTCTTACCGCGTCAGTCTGAAGGGGTATAAAACTCCTGAGGAGAATTGTACAATCGCTCAAGTCGGTTGGCATATTTACCATGGCGCATATTTGGCACAGGAGGGCAGGGGAATCACAGCAGAAGCTACACCCGGCAGCGGCAGCCCTCGAAGACGACCCAAACTATCTTCATTTCTCCGTTTCGCATGGCGATATCCTCGAATTGTCCTTCACGCAGAAAGGAGGCACATTGGTCTACAAGTCCACCACCGCACATCACATATCGAACATCGTCTGCAAGAATGGGGACGAGTCCCGCGAGGTTGCCAATATACGGTGGCAAAACTTCGAAATAGGGACGATAATGGTCGACATCGTTGGACAGGAAGAAATGCATCTAGAAGAGTTCCTCAAGTTCGTTAAAGATGTCGGGTTGTACGTCACTATGGCATTTACTTCGTCAGAATCTAACTTCAGATAATGTAGGGAACATCGTTTTGTTGCCAAAGGTCGAACTTTGCACGCCTCGTTTGCAACGGATCACTTCGTTGTACGTCACCATTTCAACCGTTCCAGACCCCTACTCACTCCGTCGCAAGTTGACGAACCCTGACGATACCCTGCTAGGTCAGGACAACCGTGTCCCCGCCGGGCTCTTCCGCCACCCCACCCCAGATTCGTTCGACGTGTCAGCCGACCTGCTCGACGTCATGGACTACATCTTCATCGCCTACCTCTGCATGGAACGCGCACGACGGGAGAGGTCAGCGGGTGTGCAGTCGAGAGCATATTCACAGGCGTGGCGCGACGGAGGAACGGGGACACTCGGGCAGGGCGTATTTTCGATGGCGGGGTAGTGTGGGATCAGCGGGTCTAACCTTTCCTCGTGAATTCAACACCGCGTATTATTCCTAATATGGCAATACCCCGTTGAGCTACCTTGCCCGGTATCGGGCAATAATTGGACCTTCAAAATGGGTGTGATCGGGACTGACGTGGCTATGTCCCCCACAATCCATTCGATCACCTCTCGAGCTTTGAATGTGTTAACCTGCTATCGCACCCAAGGCACGAGGTTATCGTCCTGGTATGGAATCCCTTGCTGGCTGGCGTCGCCTGCACCGCTGCCCATCCCGAAGCCGCGCCTGCCGGACCGTTTTGTCGGTCGACTGGCAACATCGCAAGCGACGCTGAAAGTGGGGATGACGTTGGGCCGCTTTTAAAGCCGGCCGTCATCTCTCCCCTCGCCGGATTTACGGTAGTACAAGCCCGATATGATGACTTACGCATCTCCGCTCGCCAATAACTTCCACAGCATTTACGAAATGGCCTGTTGGATTTTTTGGATGCAAGCAGCGCGACGGAACAAACTGAACCGTCATGCCGTCGGTCCCAACTTCTTGCACTTCATGATCTCCCACGACGATCCCACGCATCTCACTTTCACACTTCTTGGCAACGCGCTTGTGTACAAGACATCTACGAAAGGAACCACAACATCGATTACTCGCAAAGTCGATGGCAAATCCACGGGATTGGCCAAGATCTACTGGAGTGAGGTTGAGGGGGGAGAAACCATGATTCAGTTCGGAGGGCACCCCGCTATCAGGGTAGAACAGTTTTTGCCGCCGGTTCAGGACATCGGGCTGTGAGCTTCTGAATTTTCCTTGGATCTTTCGTCATCGTACTCAATTCCAAATGTCAGGGAACATCAGTTCACGGTGAACGGGAGAGATTTCCATTGCGCTTTCACCTCTGATCGGTTCGTTGTAAGTTCTATCGCTAATATACCGAGAAATGCGCGATACTCCCATGTTTTATTAGCTGACTGATTCGAACGACGCTCTGCTCGGTCATGACACCCGTACTCCTCATGGACCAACCCATCGCCTAACTCCTGATTGTTTCGAAGTTTCCATTGATCTCTTCGATGCCATGGACTTCGTGTTCGTGGCCTACATATGTATGGAATGCGCCAGGCGGGACGGCAGGGCAAGTATCCTGCCAAGGCCATATTCTCAAGAATGGCAGACACTGCAAAGAAGCATGCCGACTGTTCATAGTCAATGAACGGTGGAGGACAAAGATACCTTATTTTGATATATCCTGGTGACACATGTACCCCTTGATTCCCATCACCCTATGTGTGAGCAACCATGAGTGATCTGTCATGGGAGAAACAGCGGCCCAGTCGCCGATCCCTAGAGCATTCCGAGTCAGGGCAGGTTGCCCACATGATTATCTTCACTTTGAGCCGTTACGTTAACTGCAGCGCTCAAATTGGGGTACGTTTCGCGGTTTTCCCAGCCCTTTTCGAATTCTACCATACGTAAGACAAATATCGAACTGAATATAATGCGGTCGGGACGGAGGGTCCTCCCAGATGGCACTCGGCACCCTGAACCACTGATTCTGCACCCTCTGATGCCTAGGCTTGTCCGTTTTTCCCCAATCGGGCGTTTTATTCTCTCTCGTGCTTATACTCTGCCGGATGGCTCCGCGCTGCTCCGGATGCGGAGCCCCAAGAACGTCGCCAAGATTCCCTTGCCCGTGATGCACGTACCAATCACCGCGTGTCGCCCTCAGCTGCAATAGGGGTATTTTGGGAATATACAGGCCGAATTTCCTGGATACACGTGAAAGAAGGAGCGATTTTTCTCAGGACAGGGCATAAAACTCCCATTAAACCTACCGATCGGAGCCTAGACCAGGTCCTGGCAACACACGGTGAATGTGACCTCCCAGAAACCCATGCCGCTCCGCAGTTGAGCAACTCTTCTCAGGCGCCGATCGAGGAACGTATAAAGAGCTGTCATGGGATGACAAGGGAGGGTCTCAGTAACCTCTCCAAAAATGTCCGGCGGGTGGCTTTTTTCCTTCAATCACCGTCAACAAGCGAACGAGCGGGCGCGAAAGAGACGTCTTCATTCCTTTCCCGCGGGAAGCGGCTCCGACTCCCTCCACTTCATGATTTATCCAAGCGATCTCGAGTTCACGTCCTTCACATTACCGGCCGAGGATATCGTCTTCCGCTGTGCAACGAAGTGGGGTGTGTCGACTATCACACGTCAAGCCGCAGGCCAGTCGACAGACCTGGCTACGATTGAGTGGGATTATACTGGTAAGAAGATCCGGGCCACGATCCAATTTCAGGGACATGGGAAGCGGTCCTTGGGAGACTTCTTAGAGCCGGTCGACGATCATGGAATGTAAGTCGGTCGGTCGGTTCTCCACTTCCGTCGCGCCAATCTTTATCTCTGTCATCCAGTGAACACCAATTTCGAGCTGGCAATCGCATTCTTCACTGCGCGTACACGTCGGATCGGTTCGTGGTAAGGTGTTCCCCGGTCTTCTAGAACGCATTGTTCACATGTCTCTGCAGCTGACGAGCCCTGATGATGTACTTCTGGGATACGACACCCGTGTCCCGTCTGGTTTTTCACGCCACCCTGTGCCCGAAACGTTCGATGCGTCCGTCGATCTTCTCGATGCAATGGGCACTGTATTCGCCGCATACATCTGTATGGAGAGATTCAGGCTCGATGGTCGAACATCTATCACAGCAAAGCCATATTCGCAAGCATGGCAGATGACTGGCCCTGGAGGACTCAGCTTGCAAGCTCCTGAAAACGCTATGAATTGAGGCCGCACCTTCACAAATCTGATCGAATTCCAAATTTGTTCTTCTTTAGTACTTGGTCATGGGAACTGTTGTAGTTCACAAGAACCTCCATTTGGCCTCCACCTTCCAATCGTTTTGGTCGGAACTCCTCGAAGCATAGTACGACGGTGGATGCTTTACTAGTGAGTTTTGAGAGTTCCTCCCCAACGCCCATGAACTTGAATGAGCGGTCGGATTTCCTGAACCACACAACATCGTATCTTCGTGCTGCGCTTACACTTCCAGTGTTGACAGTAAGTGGTTAAGCAGTCTCCGATCCTGGGGAGATTCTGGAGGCGCCTTAACGCCCCCCTGGTTAAACGGGGTGGCTATGCCAATATCTGATCAGACTCTATCTAATCGGGTCAACGTAAAAGGCGCGCTCTTACTGGTCCATGCGTTCGTCCCTACAACCGATACAGAAGATTTTCGGTCTTTTTGGAACTTGGCCTAAAGTGGTCTATCTTTCCTATTCTTCGCATCCAAATCTATTGTCCTTGCCGAACACATCGGGATCTGCGGGGGGCCAGACTCCGCCTTTATTTGTAGGCAGGAGGCATGCTCTTGATCTGTATAAGTAGCCGCTAAGCCCCGCATACCATCATCTATCATCAACACTCATTCTGGCTCGCATGTCTCCCATCCGCCAATATCAACAGAAACTCGAAGGAAGCGGCTATGAAGTTGAGATCGATTTAGGACAATTGGAGTTCTCCATTTCCCGTGATACCCCCTTCAACATGTCCTTCAGTCACAGAGGGAGCGATCTTGTATACAAGGCTACTCGTGTTGCACGAGGATGCTGTATCACATGCACCACCCACGGTCGGACAAGGGAAGTTGCAAGGCTCTACCGCAGTAAAGACGATGGCGAGTACATCAAAGTCAAGTTCTCGGAGCAACAGGCTCAGTCCCTGGAAGACTTCTTGCTCGTAGTCAAGCCTCGCAGCATGTAAGTTCTGGAAACTTGTTCGGCCGCCGAGCGTCCATTGACGCGGTTAACCAGGATGTATCGGATCGACATCGATGAAGAGATCTATGCGTCGTTCTCCAAGGACCATTTTACGGTATGTCGTCTCGGCAAGAGCAGTTCCGAAACATGGCTGACAATACCCTCAGTTGACGGACGCCAGCGGCACGGCGCTCGCGTATGATACTCGAGTACCAATGGGCCTATTCCGAGAGCGTATACCAGCGATCTTTCATATATCAATCGATCTGCTCGATACGATGGACTACATCTTTGTGGCGTACATCTGCATGGAGCGGTGGAGACGCGAGGGAACGACCAGTCTACAGTCCCGGGGGTATTCACAGGCATGGCAGAATACGCCGGGCCTGTTGTGTTTTGAAGGTCCGTGGGGGGAGGTCATGTAATGATATGTTATAAACCCACCGCAATCTAATGAAACCTGTGTTGCATTCTTCTATTTGTTACATTGCAGATCCTCTATGCTGTAGTCTCGGTGGCCGTCTTCTCGGAAATTTCTAATGACGCAAAGCTCCCCTGTAGCTTGTCCTGTGCCTCATCTCGGCGACGAAGCTCCTCCTCACGCTATAGGACCGTGGGTAAGTGCCTGGACATAGTTTCCAAATAAGGAAATACGAACCTTCTGCTTCTTAGCCAACAACTTGAGCTTGAAGTAGTCCTCGTGCAATCCGCACTCAGTCTTCTCTTCGCGTCCTCGCCAGCGACCATCACGCTCGCCTTCCCCCTCCTTAGACTTTGTAGTAGAGTGCCAGTCTCCAACGCTCTTGTACCCTTGCGAGAGAAGCTTGTTTTTCGGGACGTCGTTCTCGTCTAAGTAGGTCTGTACCTGTTCCAAAGACCAGCTGAATAGGGGATTGAGCTTGAACATGCCGGTCTCGTCAATCTCGAGAGGGCTGAGCTTTGCACGTGCGGCACCCTGCGACCTCCTCCGGCCAGTCAAGAGGGATTTGACGGCCAGTTTTTCGTATATCCGACGGGCTGGATCAACCTTCACGAGGAAGTCGTAGGTCGGTTCGTTGCGCTCCCACAGACGTTCACCGTGTTTCGCCTCGAAGTCGGCCACGGTCTCGCAGTCTTGTGGTTTCGCAACGATGACCGGAACATTGTATTTTTTCTCGACTTCGTCCTTCAGCTCAAGGGTCTCTTGGAAATGATATAGGGTATCGACGAAGATCATTGGTACCTGGGGATTGGAAGGCTCGGGGAAGGCAGAAGTCGGAAAGGTCGTGAGCATGTGTGTTGTACAGAGACCGGTGATGCCAAAGGCAGTAGACTGGTATAAATTCGGGAGATGACGAAGGCCCCATAGAAGCACTTCTTGTGGCGACAACTTCTCCAGGTAGAGGTTGATATCTTCCAGTTCGGGAACAGTGGGGAGCGTCACGGATGGTGTTGGCCAAGTAGTCGAAGGCATTTTGGGCGAGTGTATTCAACTGACTCGTTGATGGTATACAAGGAGGATGAAGTGTAAGGGTGAGCCAAGGAAATGACAAGCAACTCTCCCCTCTCGAAGGTATTTCGTTATTTACACGGTAAGCCTGAACCTATTACGCAATCGCTGCAGCACCATACCCAGTCACAGGAGAACTGACCCGTGTCCCAGTATGGTGAATCCAGGTTGAAAACGACATCGTAGAGGGAAATTGCGTGCTCAGGCCTCCGCTCCCAGACGTTCCTACAAATTTCGATCCCGGGAAAATACAAAGACGGGATTTGTCAGCAGCCACCAGGGACAGCCATCGTAACTGAAACAAAGCGTACCGGCAGACAATAATATGTCCAGGAGTTAGTTTATTGTTAACGTTCAATCGGGTAAATGGACCACAAACTAACGGGTCCGTATTGTCGGAATATTAATACCATCAATGTGAAGCCAAGGTGGACACGTCACAGCCAGCATCACAGGAAGGGTACCAGAGTTTTGGCATTTGTATGTCGATTGAGCCTCAAACAGGGTGATGAGCGGGAAGCTCCTCATCTATCCCCACTTGGCATAGCCAAGGGCGCCAAAGAACAGTAGACTGAAAATGCACGTGAGAGCGTACATTCAACATTGCCGAGCCAGAAGTCAAGATAGCAGGAGACCGAAGCACCATTTCGGTCTGAACCAGTCTTTGTTTTAGTGAAGCAAGCATATGTGTATAAAGCAGCTACCAGTGCGTCTTCAACACCAATAACAACGCCGCCCTCCACGAGATGCGCAGTGATTGCTACGTGCGTATTGAGGAAACAGCCACGTCGTTCTCATGGGCAATTATTAGTAGGAGCGATGACCAGCCGGAATGGGAAAGGAGGGGAAAGGAAGACACCGCCACCCCCAAGGGAACGGGTGCAATGAGAGAGCACCGAGGTGCGCGCACCTCCAACTCCTAGGCACACACTATCAGAGTCGACGACGACCTCCACGACGACAGCAACGACGACGAACGCGTCAACGGGAGTCAGCGAGCAAGCGCATATTCGCATAGACGATATCTTATAGTCGCACGTCTACATATACCATACCTCACAAAGCTGGAAACGTAATTGCCGGTCAACATGTGGCTCTCATGGCTCCTCCCGCTCATTCCCTTGCCCCTCATCCTTCGTCGCATCCCTGCTCTCGAGTTCTACATGAACAGCCTGATATTTGTTAGCTCTCTCGGGATCGTCTCCGTATGGGGTGTCATACTCGCCCTAGTCATGCCCCCAATAGGGCAAGGAAGGAACATCAACTACGTCGTCGCACGTTCATTCTACTACTTCACCTCCCCTATCATCGGCATACGATACAAAGTGGAAGGCGAAGAGTACCTTCGAAATACACACCCTGCCGTGCTCATCGGAAACCACCAGAGCATGGTCGATATCCTCTATCTTGGTCGCATCTTCCCGCTCCACAGCGTTATCCTTGCAAAGAAGTCCCTGCGGTGGGTGCCCCTGTTAGGTCAATTCATGTCCCTCTCCCATGCGCTTTTCATCAACCGCAAGGACCCAGCATCGGCAATTGCGAGTCTTAGTGCCGCTGGAAAAGAGATGAAGAAGAAGGATATGAACCTATGGGTGTTCCCGGAGGGGACACGGACATTGAAGGAAGAGAACACGCTCCGACAGTTCAAGAAGGGCGCGTTCCATGTCGCCGTGGAGGCTGGCGTCCCAATAGTTCCCGTTGTGTGTGAGAACTATTGGAGGCTGTATCATTATGGTGTCTTCAAGGGTGGCGATTTGCGGATCAAAGGTGAGCAGCATACACCTCTGCTGTGACAGGAGGCTCATCTATATCAGTCCTTCCCCCTATTGATACATCATCCATGACCATGGCGGACGTGCCCGCCCTCACCGCCCGAGCACGAGAGGTGATGACCGCTGCTCTGCGCGAGATCTCCCATTCACCAACCAACACTGCTCCGATATCCCCAGAACCTGAACCCACACCCGCACCAGTACCCATTCCCGTACCCGAGAAGGAAATCACCCTGCCCGAACCAGTCCTTAAGGAGGTCAAGGATATTCCGCAGCCTACCCCCGAGACCGTACCAGTGACGGAGCCTGAGCCAGTCATCTCTGCCCCTGCGAGTACCGCTGGTTCGACTGCAGGAAGCTTACTCGAGAGCTGGACTGCCGACGAGGAAGAGGAGAACGGGGCCGTGCTTGTTGGCAGGCCGAAGGCTTAGGCATCCAAGCCATGCCTAGGTGTCTGTCACCATGGGGTTGACGATGTCACATCGGGGATCACGAGATAACATGAAGAACCTGTATAGTGTGGTACATAATGACGTAGTCCAACAGAGGATGATGTGAATGAATGAGGATATCATCGATGACCCATATTGGAACATTGAGAATCACAATACAGCAGACGACAAAAACAGCATATTACCAACTGAAAGTCTCCACATGTAATTCTACAGGCGGGCAGCCTCTCCGAATCGCTACAGGCCCTGCCACTGGACCCTCAGCCAGGATGGTCCGAACAGTCTGCGTCATGCTGGGAGGACCACATACTACCCCAGTGTTAGCTCACAAGTGTGATGATTCTGACAGCATATACTTGCCATTGACAGATACCTCTCCCGCAGCGCGTTCTATTTCATCTACCAGCAACATTCGTAAATCTGGGCGACCGGGAGCGATACTCATGATCGGGAAGCTCGGCAAGGGCTTCGAAGGTCTCTGATCAGCAGAATCGGAATCTTGCGTGACAAATATCCGGATAGAAATATTGATAAACTCCGGCGCAGTCGCTAGTATAGATGCAAGGGCGGTGCTGATCCAAGAGATATGATCGGCGTGCCTGACCACCCATATAAAGCAGACTGATCTCGTAGCCGAGCGGCCATTTCTGACGTCGCTGTACCGATCAGATCAGTCGAGGAGCGGTGCGGGTAATAGGCGAAACCCTACTGAATAATGCTCTTGAATTGGGGGAGGGTGTATGATACTCCACTCCCGCCAGAGATGAGTACTGCGGTGGAAAAGTGGGCGAGCGAAGGCGGACAGCCGTAGGGACCCTCCATGGCGCACTCTACAGCCAACTGTCGCTTTCTTCCCCGCTGTGCATGAGCTAGCAAGCGTTTGGTGAATCCGTCCCGTGCTCGGACAATGAAAGTTAATTCGTTCTCCTGCCGTCCGTTCGTATCAGAGACACTAGCAATGGTGAATGGATGGCTTTCCCAGACGAGGAAGGAAATTGTCGGCATGATTAGATAGGCATATTGTCCCGGTTTCCATCTCATGTGACGGCGCATACTTATCCGCATCGTGTCAGCGGACAGGAGTTCGACGGTGGCAGTTGAAGCGGGATTTCTCCAAAACGGGTTGAAGTTCAGCCACAACCGGTTCAGGATGCCGACACGCAGACAGCGACCCAGTCGGTCTACAGCCCAAAGCACCCATCCAACCAAAACGTAGGGGTAGGACTTGGAGCGATGATAGCTGACAGCGAGGACAAAAGTGCTACGAAACCAGTCAGGAAACAGCCGCATGCACTGAAGAACACTGACAATACGAGGACGATGTGGGTGGCAAGGAACAATTCATACGCCTTGTTCCGCAGGGGGCGAACAGACATCAGTGTGAGCAACGTGAACGATGACAGTGCCACTAAACCCCATCTGTGGATTGCGTTAGCTCCCAGTATACCATGTGAAGTACTCTGTTTACATGATTCTTGGGGTGTTGATGGCGTTGTGCCCTTTCAGACTGCGTGTATCTTCAGATGACGTTAAAGCACCGAGAATGAGAGGAGCTACCCATTCTGCCACCTTCCATAAGCGTGCAATAGTGCTAAGACGAGTGCCGATCGCCCAGCGGCACGGTGTAGCACATTCAGTTTCTCCGAACCGATGCCGGGCAGATCTGAAAATAAGCTCAGTCAACCTATACCGTGCTGTGTAACATGCATACAAGATATAACGTTGTTCTTTCCTGCCAAGCCAATAATGAGAGGAATCTGAGACGTGGCAAGATGTCCGCAGCGGTTCGCATACGCCTTATACTGTAGACCATTGCTATCCACAAGGCCGAGGACGAGAAGGACAACAAGATATCCGGAACAGAATAGCATCTCCGCAATTGTCATGCGGTAGTTCCACCACATGGGTATTGTCCGTCGGTACATCAAGATATTCCACTCGCTCAGGAGCATACGCAGAAAGCACTGTACGGAGGATGTTCTCCGATCTGGATGGGCATCTCCGTTCAGCGTTTCTTCTTCTTCTTCATTCTCCTTATCCTTTCGTACAGCCAAACTTCGCTCCATAGAACGTCTGTACTGGTGGCAAGCTGAGATAACCAGGAGGATGCCAAGCACAATGATCCATAGGACTATAGGATAGAAGTTCTTCTGCCAGAGCCGGTGCAATCGCGCGAGAATGGCCTTATTGTCGACTAGCATTCCACGGGATGCTCCAGTAGACGGCATAGCGTACCGCCTCAATTATATGTCAGCCAAATCTAGAGGTTTGAGAGACGGGTATGGACACACGCAAATTGTAGTAACTGTGGCCAAGTTCACCCAATGACTCTCTTATGCGCCCACGGGTTGGTGTATAGGCGAAGGGCTCACGCGTGCCCCGCGGTCTCCATTAGTTACCCTTCCAGGTACCTTTATGACCAAACAAAGCCAGCACCGACAGAATACGAAGATATTTTGGAGCACTTGGCCAGTTGGTGAAGAGGAGAACTGAGTGCTGGCTGAGGCTTCGCGAAGGCAGGGTCTGGACAGCCACTCCGACATCTTATCTGATCCTGCGTTTCTCCGTAATGACGCCGGACGGAATTGTGCAGAACTGTATATTATCGGCCTGTATGGTGTATTTTCGGTCTGTATGGATATCGATAGCGTTAGCCCACTACGGGCTGACCCCACAGTCTTCTTTTACGAGGTGCTCAAACTCACTGACCAGTCTCGAAGTGTATGGCGTGTTGCCCAATTCGGCTTCCATCAGCGCCTTTCCTTGGCAGATTATCCCTGATGGTCCAGATAAGGGAATACTGTCATTCGAGAATCCGTGGATGACTCCGGAAAGAATATGAGATCATTGTCACTAGGAAGTGACAACATTGGCACGTACGGCATTTTAGCTCATCTAACGCAGCAACCCCGAGGATCTGGCTGACATCTTCATAGAATTGCGTGTAACGTGTCAGTTTGTCTTGGAGAGGAATCTCAAGTCCGACTCCAGAGCGAGGAGAAGAGAGCCTAGCACCAGATGGCGCAGTTGTGCGTGAATATGCGGTGTTCGTCATTGTGGTCGATGACACAGACGGTGATCCTAGAGGGGTGGTGGAGATGGTAGACGGCCTGAAGCGTTCGATCGGAACTATGTCATGAGTGGTACTGTGCATCCCGAATGCACCGCCTGCCACGCGCGATATGTGTTGCCTTGTAATAGGGGGATTGCTACGAGATACGGTACGAGCTTGCAATGATCCTGTTCTGCGCAGCTTAAGGGTGTTGTCGGTTACAGGTACTTTGCCAGCAGCTACCTCGTCGCGACTCGCAATAGCAGTGACGCCAAGACCAGATCTAGTTGTTTTGGAAGGAGTGGGTGACACAGAGTTGGGTCTCGTCCAGACCTCTCTGGATGTCGCAATTTGAGAACTGCGACTCTGCTCAGCAAGTACTTCCGTCGACAAGGGGTACGCCATGGAAGTTGGAGGGGTACGCAAGATACGAGGCGACATGGGAGAGCGAGGTGGGGCCGCGGCGGAGGGGAAAAGACTAGTAAGATACTTTAACCGTCCTGGGGCCTGTGATGGGCTGTTGAGAGGGGTAGTCGAGACAGGATGTTCGCACGAGAAAGGATCAGACATAGCACTGAGTTGAGAAGCAGCAAGACCGAAGCTAGGCAGAAGAAGAGGTGTTGAAGAGACAGAAGAATCCGTGGATGAGTTAGGCATCACCATCATGTTGCGAGTCGGAAGCGGGGACACGGTGGGAGGTGGTGTAATCGGGCTTCGCGGACGGAGGAGGGGACTACGAGGAGGAGATACTGGCGACGCAGGAGATGTAGCACGAGAATGACGAGAGAGGCCGCGGCGCAGCGTATCATGAGCAGCCGCAAGCTGAGGAGATAAGTTGAAGTCCAGGTTAGCTGAAGAAATCGTGAGGATGAAACGCATACAGCGGATTCCGCTAGACGCATGCTCCTTTCGCGCTTCCATTGATCATCTTTCATTTCCATAATCTCATCATTGGCAGCATGAAGTTTGCCTCTCAGATCTGCGAGACGCAGCTCCATTTTCGTATTCTCGGCAGTAAGCTGTTCAATCTACCCGAAGTTAAGCCATATCATCTTTGGCATAGGATCACCACGGACTTGTAGACGAAGGCTATCCACTTGGTCCAGGGCAGACTTGCGCTCGCGAATGAGGATGCGGCACTATTGCTCTTGGAACTTAGCGCTGAAATCCTGCGTATATGCGCACCTGTTTCTGAAACTCTGCTTGTACAGTATCAAGGGACTTCCGATGCTAGACTGTCCTGAGCGATATGCCATATGCGAAAAGAGTCACATACATTTTCTTGCAGACTGTGGACGTGCTCGTCCATCGGGGTGTCGCTTTCAGATGGTGCGTCCAGGTTGAGCAAAGCGAGGTCAGGGGTATCGTCATCAGCAGGCGTTAGGGAGGCATTTGCCCTGCTCCTCACAGGTACATCAACAATAGTCTTGCCAGAGGATTTGGCATTTGAAGAAACTGCGAGGGATGAAGTTACATTCATTTGGGTGAAGGTCAGGTCGTGGATCGGAGGCAAGAGGAACTCGCGGTTCCTCACACTGCGACGGAACGAAAGCAAAACGAATGGTGTGCATCGATTGATGGGGACATCACAAAACTTCGGACGATTCAATTGACAGCGAGAAAAGCTTGCGAATGACAATATGCATGAAAAACCCAGAGAAGGAGTTGCAAATGCGGCGCATATAGCTAGCCTCGATAGGTAAAATACAATGAATGGAGAAATCTACTGCGAATGGGAAGTGTCCTTGAGCCGATTTGATACAGGAAGGAACTATTCAAAGGGTAACAATTGTGCGATGGGAATAGCCGATATGAACAGCCGAAATGAACAGACTTGCCGAAGTGCAACCTTGAAATGAAAAAGATGAAACGCGAACAAACGAGCGGATGGCAGTTGGTGACAACACGGGGATCATAAGAGCGTAGAAATCGTCGGTCAACGGTCGACGCCGGTATCCGTAAGCGTATTGGATCGAAAAGACTTCAAGGCTTGCTCGGAACGGGTGGGGGGTTGTCGGTGTTCCATGGCTCCTCCTGGATGTACATCCTCCGGGAGGCCCGCACTGTACCGCTCCCCGACATCGACGAGATTGCCCTCCGGTAACTGACTGGGGGTGATTTGCGGCTGGACTTTGAGCTGACGCTCCTCTGTCGCAGATGGTTCTTGACATAGTACTGGCGCGGAGAGTTCGGAGACGGTATCAGCCCCTTGCTGTAGTACAGGTCGGTAACGACAACAGGCTGAATGTCACGAGGATCAACTGCGGTGATTTCGGTCAAGCGCCTTGAAGAGCGCCTCCTCTCAGCTCGGTCGCGGTCCCCACGTTCGTGCCCGTGGGGCTCAGCAAGAAAGGTCCGATGATGAGCGCTAGTCAGGGAATAGTCCGACCTTTGTTGCTGTTCGGGGGATAAGTATAGAAACTCTGACAATGTGAAATGAGCCTACAGAGAAGGCCCTCTCCTCGGAGGTCGAATACTTTCCGGGGTTCATTGCCTTTTTCGCCGCACGGCGAGCACAGCGCTCGCAGGAGGGTGGGGCAGCCGCAGGAGCAGACTCGGTTGTAGGAGCAGGAGCAGGCGCGGCAGGTTGTTCCACAGGTGGAACGACGGCAAGGGCTAGGAGCGGTGCGGCAGCCTCAGCAAGCTGAGCGGATTGTGCTGCTTCTTCACGCTCCTGATCAGAACGCTTCACTAGGAGAGTGATCGGATCCGATATGCCAAGCTCCCTAGTGCGCAGGATATCCTCCGCTTCAGTAAGCCTTGCAAGACCGAACTTGGCAGCCTCCTCATATTTCTCCCGCGCACCGACCAACTCTCTCTGCACTTCGACTGCGAGAGCATCCCACTGCTTCTGTTTTTCCTCTTTTTCTTTCTTCGAGTCCTTCAAGGCCTGTTCGAGTACGTTGTACTTGTGCTTCCAGAGGAGAATCTCTGCTTCGAGCTCGGAAACTTTCTTATCCTGCTCAATTTTTGCGAGACGGGAGCGAGCAGCAGCGAGGCGAGATTCTTCCGCTTCGGCCTTGACGCGGCGGATCTGTTCACGCAGATCGTCCTGGGTAGTCTTGGCCTCGATGCGTTCGTCGTTGATCTTCTCTGCAAGTGCCTTGATGTCGACTGGCATGGTGAAGGTGGTGAAGGTGATAGTGGTACGATGTCGGCCTTGGTCGCTGTCAAAACCTCCACATGCGGTAAGGGGCGGCCAAGGCACGACGATCTCTCAGTCGAACACGGTCAATATTAATTGCTTCTATGGAAACGCGACGCCGCGTTATTTGCTTCCGCATTCTTCGTTGCATTCCAGATCACATGACTGAATGTACATATTCTTGTATGTTCGTGTGTTGTGGCGATAAGCAAAACTATCGATACAACCACTAATCAAACGATAGTGTAAGATGCACATGTGGTCAAGGTCGCAAGTGATATAGTGGACAACACAGACAGTATGCGCGTGTAGCAGTCCGTGCAAGTGATACAATTACAAAAGTTCATGAAATCAGACGGATGTGAATTGCCCGTTTGTAGAACGATCAGGAAAATAAAACAAGCGATAAATGCACAAGAAAACTTATCACATATTCATGCGTTCGACGAGACTCCGAGATGATGGTACTGGGCCAACCGGGCCACTATGTCCGCCTCGTCGAGGATTGCCGTGTCGTCGGTTAAACCGTCCACCATTCTCGCGAGTGTTGTCGTCCCTTCGATTTCCGGGTAGAGGGCTACGATCCCTTCCTCGGCCAGCATCCCTATCTCCATACCTGTCGTCGCTCCTCTCGCCGTTATGTCTCACATTCGGAGATCTTGAACGACTTCGACGCGATTGTGGCGAAGGCCGCCTTGGGAGTTCGTGGGTTACCGGAGAGGTCGCTGCCCCGCGCACGTTCAAACCGGACGCCGTAGAGGTCTCCCCGACTCCATTGATGGTCGGAGTCATGGGTGATATAGGAGACTGCGATGGCAGATTGGCTCGTGGAGGCCTCTTGATTGTTTGGGCGCGGGGACCAGTGGGTATAGGTTTTGTGGAAGATGCAGGGGATACCTCAATGGTTTGAGATATAGCGCTGCCGTTGGAGAGAGGCTGGCTAGTTGTATTTGTAGGTGGCGAGACAGGCGCCGCGACTGATGTAGGATTGCCGACAGAGATGAGCGCTTCTTGTGCCTGAGAGAGCTGCGATCTGTGCATGGGGAGATGAGAAAAAATGTCATTGAAATCACAATGCGACACCCACGAGAGGGACGTTATTGTGTCATGCGATTCTTGACGACGAAACGTAATCAGCATGAGTGTGGAAAGAGCAGCCCAGTCGCGCGCTAACCTCGCAAAGCAGTATCCATTCCAGCGACCGTTTGTCTTAGCATTGTGACCTCCTCTTTCAACTGCGCAATATTGCTCTCCTTCAATAGCCCATATAACTCATCGTTCTCCCGCTGAAGTAGCTCGACTCGTGATGTGATAACAGACGCCGAAGAAACGCCTGATGGTGGATTCGCGCGGAGCAGTGGAGTCAATAGGGCAAGCAAAGAAGGTGGTAACGCCTGCCCAGACACTGCAGGTGCAGGTAAAGGTTGAGTGGGAACGAATGCTCTCAGCGCGGTGATGTCTTCCTTCATGACACACCATCAGACAGGGACAGCGCAGCGCACACCAAGGACTTACCACAAGCGCATTTACCTGCTTCTCCTTCTCTCTCAACTGGCATAGAAGCGCAATTTCTTTGGCAGAGAGCATGACGTCCTCTTCCATTGCGTCCGCCATTGCGGGCGATTGTGGTGATGAGTGAATGGTAATGTCGTTACAGACAATGGGGGGCGGCGCTTTCACAGGATTCGACATGCCTAATTTGGTTCCGTTACAACAACCCTAGGCCTTCCAGTATATGTAACATACAACTATTAAATCAAGTTGTCTTCACAATGCCTGGAACAGTTCTACCTAGAGATGCTCGTCTCATTGCATTAATACTTTCAGCTAATCCAGCAATATCTGATGCGCAACCGCAAGTACTCCACCAATTATTAGAGTTCTCTCATAGTACGTCGCGTCTAAAGCGGTAGGATGTCGCTGATCGGGGATTTAAGGGTATTCATCTCAAGTGATGAATGACTCCTTGGTATATGCCGAACATGCAGGGAGAGTGGGAAACATTACGATGGAGGATTTGACACTTGCAATTCAAGCGCGAGCGGGCTGGGAGTTTGCGGGTCGCATACCGAAGGAGGTTTGTCCGGTTGTTGTATGACGTCCAGCTGGTGCTCAGAACTAGCGCAGTATCTGCAATCACTTGCTGATAAGACCAACTCTGTACCCCTTCCGTCCATACCAGAAACCTATGGTGTTCGATTACCACCAGCCAAGCATTGTCTCACTCAGGTCGATTTCGATTTAGTGCCAAATCGACCGCCACCAGGTAGTGACTACTATTACGACGAGGAGGCAGCAAAGTACGAGCAAGATGCTGAAGGAGAGTGGGGATTGGTGGATGCGGAAGGTGAGGCAGATGCTGCCGGAGAGGACGACGCAATGGGGGAAGATGAGCCTGGATTAGGGGACGCAGACGAAGGCGGAGATTTGTTTGGGGAAGACGATGAGGGAGATGACATGGATGATGATGAGGATACGTCCCATGATCCGCTTGCAGGTTTGCAGAGTATGTCGAATGGTTTTGGCCAACCTGGATCCGGAGATTATCAGCCTGCTCGGAGACTGGTTGTGGAGGACGAGGATTATGATGCTTGAGACTGCTTGTATTTTGACAATATTGTTGTATTGTATCAATCGCATGGAATATCTCCGCACGCGACGCGCATCGAGTCCGAACACGCGTTTCGATCCGACCATGTCTTCTTTCCCACTTCCTGACCTCCCTCCATATCTGACACTCCTACTCACTGGTCTTCTATCTCCATCTTGCCCCCTTCACTTGGCTCTAGCGCATCTAGTACCTCTCTGTGAGGGAGCGCTGGTCAAATCCAGAGTGGTTATTGTGACTGCTCGGTCTCAGGATGTGTTTGAGAGGAAGCTCATCGGATACGATGACGGCTGGCTCAATGGAAACTCGCTCACGGGACAGTGGGCTCATCTACTAGCATCTATCGAGATATTGTTCGCCGAATTCACCTTGTCCAGTTGGCGCCGGCTGGGACTGATTCAGAACGCAGCTATGCAAAGACACCTGCACATCTCAAACTGATCGTGACTTCACTTCGCCCGCTGTCTGTGCCGAACTCGCAACTGCCGGGCTCCCCATCGAAGGCGATCATGGAGGTGATTCCTAGCCTTGTTATACTGCACGATATCAGCATCTGGTTCATGAGCGAGCTGCACCAGCAAAGGCGAGTGGGCACAATGCGAGGAGATGAGCTGTGCTCACAGTGCACGCTCTAGTCAAGTCCTCTCCGACTATCTGAATCTTGTCACCATGGCTCTAGACCTCACTCACTATCTGAGTCTATTGCAGCCGGTGTATGGTAATAAAATTCTGATGTGTTACTTTCTTCTAAAGCACCGGGGAAGTCAGGAACCAACGCGTCTCGCTCTCGTTGACGGGAGGCTCAACGAACTTCGGCTCCCTATAGTCGACCGCACGCCAAAACCGCCAAATCAAACCAGGTCTGTCGCGTCAAGTGATGACATACAACATATGGTCGAATCAACACGTCAAACAGTAGAGCCCCTATTCCCGGTTATTAGCAAGTACTTTGACTGGGTTGGTGAAGTCGAGAAGCGTGCGTGATTTGTCTCTCCTGGTAAACACTGTTCTTATTTGAACCGCTTGATATCTCTTGTGCCAATTATAGCCTTCCCGCCTTCCCCATCTCCAGAAGAAGGTCAGGATCAGGACCTCGACAAGCCACGTCTGCCGACCCATCGATTGAACCTCCGTCGCTCCACTCATCTTTTAGGCATGTCCTCGCGCACGCCCGAGGAGTATGTCTTTCGTTGGAGGGAGGTCCGCGCGCAGCAGGGAGAGTTCAATGAGCGAGATGCCACAACGATCATCCATTTAGAGACTGAGGCAACGTAGCCATGCTGGTGGACGAAAGCAAACATATTTCCCCTCCCCCTACTCACTGCTACATGCGCAGCAGTCCATGTTTGCGATTGTTGACTCCTTTGGCGACAGATGGCGCCACGAATCCTCATCGCCCATTCTTCCGCCATCCATAACAGCCGCGGTAGTAACTGAAGAACCGGGGGCAGTAACGTGTCAAAGTGTTATGACCAATGCGGTCCGAATATCTTCCTTCAATCGAATACTATGTGGGCACGTTTGTTAGTTCAGTTAGAAGAATCACCCTGCGGTTTGCGTTCGCTGGCTATCCCCCAGTCCGTGAGGGTGACGGAGCCATGTTGTCAGGAAGGATCGACCTGCCAGCTCATCAGAAATCGGAGAGCGGCTTCGTGAAGCAATGAATGGAATTACAGCACAATCCGTCCCTAGTGTTGCTGAAGGTACGAGAGCGTTACCGTGCGGATGAGGAGAAAAGTTCAGGTAAAATTATATGACTAGATTTGGTCTAGAACCACCTTGATAGCTTGGGCCCTCAGGGTAGCCATTCCATACCCCACTTTCTTGATGGAGAACATCATTCCAGCATCGTGCTCACCACAATTCGAGTTTCTTCCAGTGGTTTTGGAGCTCAGAGGGGCGTTTAGTCAACTGAAAACGAAAGTCGAACGATCCCTTCGAACAATGTGGAGATAAGACCGGGCGAGCACGCTTGCTTGTGCGGACGACATAAAACCCCTGTGGTTGGTTGCCTGGACACGGTCGACGTTAGTAATCACCTTGTGGACTTCCTTACGATGGAAGAGTGTTTTTCCTGAACGTAAGGCAACCGTGAGGTAGACATCTTTGCGATCGTGCGACAAAGCGAGAGCCTAATGACAGTGATCTGGACAGTTATCTCCTGTCGTGAGCCCATCCTCATCACAGATAAGAACGCACATTTCTCGGAATGTATATGGGAAGAAGTGTTCGGTCAAATAACCAGAATGTAGCAATGGATTTCATTCATACCATCAGTGTGAAAGGGCTCGTTTATCCGCCTTACATCTCATTGTCCTGCGGGGATACCGTCCTTTCGAACGAATCGCCAGCGGTTTATGTCCGCATATGGGGTCGTGTGCGTTGTTTCCTGATGGCGAGAGGTTTACCCCTCTTCTTCTTCTTCCCCGATGTTGGGCGGAAAGATAAGGTGTCTTGCGCCATGCCACCGAAACAATGTTGGCGCATGGCACGCAAGCTGGCAAGACTTCTTCATGGCAGCCTTGGTTGTATAAATGTAAGCGTAGAAGGGAGGAGTTCAAATTCAGCGCACCTGCCGCAAAGTTGCTCCTGCGCTGCCCCTGCGTTACAAGATGGTACCCGGTCGTACCTTGCTCTCCGTCCTTGCGCTGGCCACGGCCGCTTTCGCCTCCCCGATCGTGATCGACGAGTCCCATGTCAAGGTCACCCTCGCTCGCCACAACATCCAGCAGAAAAGCGGCTACAACGTGCTTGAGCACGATCGTGCCCGTCTCGCTACCTTTAAGGCTAAGGGTGCTGCCAAGGCTTCCGTCGCCGAGAGGGCTGCGTCTGCTGCTGCAACCAACTCTGTGGTAGGCTATCCTTTCCGCCACGCGAATTTGAGAGATTCACAGCAGAAAACAGACCTACTACAGCCTTGCCGTCGGCGTCGGCAGCCCTGCCACCACTTGTAAGCCACGTGTAATGAATTGGAGTTGACTACAACTCACGTTGAACCAGACGACCTCATCGTCGACACCGGCTCCTCCAACACCTGGGTTGGTGCCAGCACGCAGGTCAGTCGTTCCCTTCTCCCAGTGATCTCTGCCTGATCTTCAGTTCTGTACAGTACAAGGCCACGAGGACGAGCACGGACACCCGTGACAAGGTCGCCGTCTCGTACGGTTCTGGCTCGATGAGCGGCACAGAGTACACCGACACCGTGACGCTGGGAACGGGCCTCACCATCACCAAGCAGAGCATTGGTGTCGCTTCGAAGACATCTGGCTTCGAGGGCGTTGATGGGATCGTTGGGATCGGGCCTACCGACCTGACCGAGGACACAGTCAGCGGCGTGACTGAGGTCCCGACCGTGACGGACAACCTGTACACTCAGGGCACTATCTCCGAGAAGGTTGTCGGGATCTGTGAGTGGATTTAGTTGACAAGCATGCAGACGCGCTGACGGGATGAGCAGACTTCCAACCCCCCCAGGGCACTTCTGAGGCGCAGATAAACGGTGAGCTTACCTTCGGCGGGGTTGACACGACCAAGACGACTTCTGCCATCACCTAGTGAGCCGCTGTTGTCTATTATAAAGACGAGAACTGACCAATGCTCAGCACCCCTCTCACCACCACTGAGCCTGCCTCGTACTACTGGGGTATCAATCAGTCCATCACGATGGGCGGCACGACGATCATGGCCACCACCGCTGGTATCGTCGACACTGGCACGACCCTCCTCTACCTTCCCGAGGGTACATACAACAGCTACGTCTCCGCTACCGGCGCGACTTTGGATGAGAACACGGGCCTGTTGACGGTGGCTTCGGAGAGCGACCTGCAGAGCTTATACTTCACCATCGGAGGTACCGAATACGAACTCACTGCGAACGCCCAGATCTGGCCCAGGGACCTGAACACACTCATCGGTGGCACAGCCAACAAGATCTACCTTGTTGTCGCCTCCACGGGGGAGGCCGCAGGTTCAGGCCTTGACTTCATCAACGGATACGTCTTCCTCGAGAGGTTCTACTCCGTGTTCGACAGCACGAACAATCAGGTTGGGTTCGCTACCACCTCCTACACGGATGCGACCAGCAACTGAGCAGAGAAGATGTGGAGTCGGAGAAGTTGAGCCAGAGTTAATAGCGTATACGTTTGTGCAGAGTTCCAGCAGATGCGAATGAAATATTGCCAGTAGAATCCACGAAGGAAGTGCGGTGATCAGACGACATCCGGTGCCTGCAAGTCTAAGGTGAGCACAGTCACGGGAAAGAATTATAATCCATCTTCCATAGGGAAGAACCGCAGAGAACGTCGGGAGAGAATGCATTATGCGTAAGAAGTGATACATCTGAGAGAGGAAGGCCGTGCTTGAGCAAGGTACGCGACGGGCTGAACGACAGAACATGCCTATGGTACTACAGCTTTCCCTCGAAACTGATCTCGCATATGAACCCTGTCACTGACACCAACTACCGTATTGCCTCCAGTACCTCCATCGAGGTGACGCTGTTGCCTCGGATAACCTGAAAACCGGGTCAGCCTGCAGTCGTTGAAAGGTATGACAATGTCTCGACTTACCACCTGGCCAATATGTTTCTTGCCGGATGTCCCTGATTCCTCGACGGCATCATCGACCACCAAGTTGAGGAAGATGTCATATCCCCGGAGGACTCCCGAGACCCTCCTTCCGCCTTGGATGTAGACAAACAGCCGCTTGTCCATAAACTGTTCAACGTTACCACAAGGAATCTTCTTGGGTTGTTTCCGCTGACGCACCTTTTTGAGCTCGGGCTGGGATGCTCTTGACATTTTTTATCCCTTTTGTTGTGTGTGGTGGTGGTGCGGGTATGCGGGTTGTTATGCTCGTTGGTTGGCGATGACTAGAGCACACGACTGGGCGGGCGTGCAGAAATTGGCGGTGGCTCTGCAAACTCGGAAGCAGAGCTTATATGTCGGCGCCTAACGGAGGCAAGTGGCTGATGTGTGGATCATATGGCACAACGGTCGATACACCATACGCTTCACTGGACAGACCCTCACTCTCCTCCTGGCTTGAACTTCGGTATTACACAACAAACGAATAACAAAGGGAACAACAATCACAGGAGGACAATATATTGCTTCACGTTGGATCAAGAATCTTGACAGCCTGACATCTCTGGCGGTATCTCATTAGCAAGCCCGCCAACACATCACTTGCCCGCCGCATACCGGTTATATTCCACCACAAGTACATGCCTCCCCAATTAGCGATTTCGACTGCTCCCTCTTCTCTTCCTAGCACCAACGGCAGCGGCGCTGGACGTGGAAAAAGCTATTATCGTGGCCGTCGGGGTGCACGGGGTGTCAACTCCGCCTCCGCTTCCGATACGGGCTCAGCAACCGAGAGCTCTGGACCCAGTCTCCTGAGCAGAATCGGGCCCCGCACAGATGGAACGGTCGAAGCAGCTTCACCCACGACACCGAGAGCAGAAGGAAGGGGGAAGAGTGCCTTGTCGATCAGAGGTACTGGTCTGCCACCGAAGCCTGTGCATGGGAGTGGGAATGCAACCGGCAATGGGAAAAGGGGATCGGGTGCAAGGAAAGTTCCCAGCAGTATCAGCTTGAGCGCGTCGTCTGTATCATCTGTGGAGGTGATCAGGGATCCACCTCCTCACTCCGTCGCCGACCCGCCTCCGATGCTCTCCAGCGCAAACTCCAGTAAAGACAGACGTGTCGCTCAATCCGCACCACCCGAGCGCCCAGTATTTGATAACGTTGAGTCCGATCGCCCCGCCAGCGCATTGGTCGTATCTGCGACCAAAGAGGCTTCTCTTCGAAGTGTTTCACCGACTCCGCGGCTCAACTGGGCTGACGAGACGGACGACGATTCCTTGCCCGATTTGGATGATTGGATGACTCCTGCTCTCACTGCTGGACTGGGATACAAAGGTAATTCTTTCCACTACCAGAGTAAGAGACAGATAGCTCATAGTGCGCAGATGAAACCGCCCCTGGGGAAGAGGACGATCATGCCACGCCTGTGGCAACAAACGCGCCTGCCGGTCCACTGAGGGAAAGGAGGAAACGCGGTGCAGGGAAGAAGAACAAGCAGCTTGCGGCGAAGGCAGCGGAGAACGCTGCTGCTGCTGCCGCCGCTGCGACCTCCGATGCCACTCCTGGTGGCACGGCGAATGCACAGGATCCACCTGCCAGCGGGCTGGACGAGTCTATCACGAATCTGTCTCTCGGTGTGAGCGGAAAGGAGGAAGAAAACAAAGGCAACAAGGTGAAACCGAAAGAGAAAGAGACCGAAGTCACGACGCCCAAGGCGGATTGGCGCTCCGTCCTTCCCGATACAGGACGCGATGGTGCGCTCCAGCTGCTCTCCGCCCTCGCAGGCTCCATCTCCACTTCTAAGCCTGCGTACCGCACTCCTGCGCAAAGGCATGCTGAAGCCGCTGTCACTGTCGTTTCAAGCGCGACGTTGGACCCGCCTGTCATCTCGGCTCCTGAACCGTCCAAGCCAGCCACTGTGTCAGCTGGTCCATCTACTCGGGTACGCGCTGTCCCCAGCCCCGCCCCCATTGGCGGCGTGTCTAGTAGAGGAGGGCCGCAGTCATTTCCCTCTCGCGTCTCTCCTCGCGTGAACGGGGTGCACCATTCCACTGTCTCAGGTGGAGGGTTCAGAGGGCCATATAGGGCGGAGCCAGGGGATACGCCCGTCACACTTCCGAAGAAACATGCAAGGCCAGTCATCACGGCTGATGCGATCACCCGTTTGGCCAGAGGGCTGATGGCCACTCCAAAGCATGACCACAGTGGAGCTGGGAATGGCGGTGGGAGTATGAACGGGAGTGAGGGTGGGAGCACGGCGGGCGACGGAGACAATGACGCGAAAGAGAACAAAGCCGACTCTGTGGTATCTTGATATCTTGCTTGGTCTGGTCTATCTTGAACTTCTTTCTCATAAATGTACCTCACAGGGCCTTTGCCCCGACATTTTGCTTCTGGTGTACGATCTACTTGCTGTGTTGTGTGTATTATAGCCGCATTCATTCCGGCGGTTCTGTAGCCCCTTAGGATAGGAAGTCTGTTATGATTGCATCGACGATGCCCCACATCGCGTGGACTACGAACTATTGATCGAAGGAGAAGTACGCTAGCTCCACGCCGATGTTTACGATGGGCTTCGCCGGACTTGCGAGGTTTGATAGTACACCGAGGGAAATAAGCGTGTTTCGCAACCGGCCTTCCCACATGAGGGACACACTTGCGTCCGTACCTATGCGGGCCTTGACCACCCCCTGGATCTCGTCTTCCTCTACTTCTGTTGCAGGATTAGGCGGAGCTAGTATCTGTGCTGGTACCTGTGGTGTCGGTGGTGTTGGTGCCACGGCATGGCTGGAGGTGGGCACAGGTACAGGCGCAAGCGGTCGGGCCTTGCTCCGGCGCATCCACCACTCAGCGCCCATGGTCCAGTCGGTCTCATAGCTGTACATGTTGAAGTCGTATCTCGAGCACAAGGTGATATCGCGTGATACTCGTGCTGCATACGCGCCCGAGAACTGGCCGACGATGGGGTTGAAAGTTGCGGTTATTGTGGTCGGGGGCTGGGATGAGGATGTGAGGGGTGGGGGATGCGTTTGCGTGAGGGACGGTGGAGCTGCATCTGGTAGTGTGGTAAAGCGTACTCCAGCGGAGACTGCAGTGAACGTTAGAGTCAGATCGGCAGGATCAGTGCGGGATAGCTCACCTCCGGCACTCTTCTCCTTCGCGCTGAAGTACACCTCTGCCCCAGCAGAGAAACGTCCTCTTAAGCCGCCGGGCATCGGGTCTTCCTCATCTACCCTCTTCTCTCCTTCCCCTAGCACCCACTTATCCGACCCTGCCTCTCCTGCCAACCTCCCAAAATGGTGTAATACCCTTGCACCCCACATGCCATCTTCCGCACTGTACGAGTACTCCGTGCACCACCGGCCGATGTCATGTTCCAACCCGAACATGAGGTTGGATCGTGTAGTAGGTGCACCATAGCGCTGTGGTCGGGTACCAAACCGACCGGGCTCGGATATAGCAGCGATGGTGCCTTGCAGGGTGGGAGATATGCGAATGGAATAGAGCGCTTCTATTCGTTGTGCTGGCACGTACATGCGTCCATATAATAAGTAGTCTAGTAATGCTTGGTATGAGTAATCCATACTCAGGGAGTAACCAGACATACCTCTCGTATCCACTCTCTGCCCAGCTAACCACTCCTCCTCCTTCCCTTCCGGGCGCTTTGGAGGGCCATAGATCTTGAACCTCCCCAAGAGGTCTTCAAACGGGACCACATGCGAATCGCCCACATCTAATGGACACGATGTGAATATGTATCCCAGAGAGCCATGAAGTGTGGGGAGGGCTTGAAGGGTATACGTGGTCTTGAAGAGCGGTGTGGGAGATTTGGAGATGGCGAAGTTGACTCCGTGGGGTACGTCAAAGTCAAGTATTGCTATCAGGTAAATGTGAGTATGGGATGCTTTCAAATACAGTGTCAGCTCACCTGTTGATGATCTCGTTAGTTTTGAATAAAAGTCTTCGTTCCATCCTGTCAATTCATGATACTTTCGGAGGACGTAGGCAGCAAATGGATACATATGCTTTGGTCGTGTGTGGACAAATAAGCGCTCAGAGTTAGGGTTCACAACGATATTGTTCATTGTCAGGTACAGTTCAATTGTTGGTCAAGCAACATAACAAAGTATCCCGCTGTGAATTGTTGTTAATTTAGATAGCATAGGGCTGCGGCATGGATTCGTACAACAAATACTCATGCGAGGTAACAGTACAAGGATTCACCTTTACGGTCCGACGCGAAAATTCGTGTCCGCAACGCAAGCAGAATGCGAAGTAAACAGGAAGGTGCGGTGCGAAAACTGAAGAGAGGAGAACATTCGATACATGACGGGAAAGTGGATCGAGGGATTGCAAAGGAAAATGCAATGCGATACAGTCATAACAAGTGATAAGAGGGTTCGCGAGCAACGATGCAGATCATAGGCGCATGGGGCTACCAGGATCTACTTCTTCAGGAATAATTGGTGCCCTTCCCAGTGGACTGGGTTCGGCCTTCTTGTGCCGACGGCCTAGGAGCGTAGCGTTGTTTATGTCGAGCTCGAAGGAGTTGCCTGCATTCTGACGTCGCTTGTTGCCGCCGCCCCGATCGCGCTGACCCGCCCGGCCATCGTACAGAGCTGCCTCAGCCTGACGTCTATCAGCACCACCAGCTGCGTAATGGCGCTGCTGGGGTTGAGCCTTTGACGCTTGCTGCTTCTTCCGAGCATCCTCTACGACAGCGGCGTCGTTCTCAACTTCGTTCTCGTCATCTTCGTTTAGGCCGCCTAGAAATCCGCGGACACCAGCACCACCGGGACCATTATACGCGCGCCTCCGGGCGCCTTCCTCTTCCATGCGGTGGACAGCGTATGTAACATCGAAAGCCTCTTTGAGTGTAGCCAGACCTGGGGAGCGACCCTCCCGGCCGCCTCGACCACGGACTTCCATCAGAAGGGGGGAATCAATAGGCATATTGTTGCGCGTTGGGGGTGCCAGGGTATCTGGAGTGGGTTCCGGAAGAGGTGCAGGGGATTCACTACACCAAGGATGGGCAAGAAACTCGTCAATAGTGTATCGCTGTGCCGGGTCAACGCAGAGAAGGTGGGTAATCAAGTCCTTAGCTACATGACGGTCAGTTACTGAAAGCCATTTTCATGGATCATGGCGAGGGGTACGAACCTGATGCGCTAATATCATCCCACCAGGGGCTGAGGAAGGTGTAATAGCCTCGAGCCACCTTCTCTGTGAGAACATTGATACTCTCGTCATAAAAGGGTGGGAAGCCACAGAGGAGGGTGTACAGAACGCAGCCCATGGCCCACATGTCTACACTCTTGCTGTATCGTTCATCTTTCACGATTTCGGGTGCTGTATAGCCAACCGTCCCACACGGAGTCATTGTCTCTTCGTTCCAGACGACCTTCGACAGACCAAAGTCGGCAATTTTGACACGACCGATCCCGCCGCCACCAACACCAGGGAGGAATTCGCCTTCGTCTTCCTTTTCCTCGTCATATGGACGTGATATAGGTTGTTTCGACGGGATGATGGGAATGCGGTCAAAGAGGAGGTTCTCAGGCTTGATGTCACTGGCAGCAAAGTGCATTAGCGGCCGAAGATCAACAGTAAGGACATGGATTACCGATGAACGACACCACGCTCTTCGTGAAGGTAATGAATACCATGCGCAACTTGCAAGATGACGTGTCGCGCCAGGTTCTCACTGAAATACGTCAATTTGACACTGAATTGGGGGGATCAGCGTGCGTGATGGACAATGACGTCATGGACGTTCTCACATTTGATGAAAAAGTTCGCCGCCCTCCATCACTGTACAATCTGATTAGCAAGGACACCGTTTGATGGAAGTCGTGGCGTACGCTCTAGCACCAAGAAGTAGTGTTCTTCGGATTCAGAAAAGGATATTAGTTTGACAACACTGGGATGTGAGATCCCGCGCATGATCTGCACCTCCTTGAGGATGTTTGCGCGCTGTTCATATTGTCAGTTTACAACGCCTACGGTAAATTGAAATGCAGGTCAAAAATTGAGTCAACGAAATTGGTCGGCCCTCAATAACAAACAAGATATGAGTCTCACCTCGGTCACGCGAGGCCGTTTCTTGAATTGCGGATTGAGATGTTTCCCTGGGTCCTGTAGTGTGTGAAGGCGTTGGCGACGAGAAGAAACGGCCACGCGCGCCGACGATCAGCGGTTGTCCGATGTTGCGAGGAATATATAGAATGTAAAAGACCATTCCGATGGATAGGAATGCAATTTGAAAATCACAAAGAATCGGACTTGCCTGCGTCGAATTGAGTTCAAATTTGCGAACGACTTTGACAGCCACCTTCTGGCTGGTGGTCAAATCGACTGCTTTGTAGACGTTTGAGAATGCGCCGCTAAAACGCGAATCGAATGGGGACAGAAAGGTAAAAGGACAATATATGCGTGGCAAAAGCGGGGTAATCATGCGAATTGATCAGCATATACTCAGTGGATTTGGGATCCTGCAGTGCCTGGCCGCAGGGTACTCACTCTCCCATCTTGTCGAGCAGCTTAAAGCGCTCGAGGCCTTTGTACTGGGGCATTTTGTTCTTGGCCTCTCGCTCTTCTCGCACGATTTGCTCGGCGGTGTGGCCGAAGCGGTTATCCTTTTGACCGTGTACCTCGCACTGTTGAGTATCCTGCTGAACCTCGCGGTGGACCTCGCGTTCGGCACGCCGCTGCTCCCTAGGGGGGTTGGATGACGTCCCCTGCGCGTGAGCTGGAAGAAGATCAGCATCAACGAAGTCAGGGTGCAAGTGACGCGCGTGCGCACCTGCTGTCGTCTGAGAAGGCGATGTGCGATCGCCAGCACGAGGCTGGTCTTTGCCGTGCTTTCCGTGACGAATAAGGTCTTTTATACAGCATACATTCAGCTACTCGGGACAGCCTGGAGATGGAGGGAAGGGAGAAAGCGAGTAAGGGACGTACTCTTGAATGTCTCCATCACAGCAGTGCCTGCTGGCATTCTTGTCGACGGGTCGTGAGGTATATCACCAAGGGAGAACGCGAGAAGGCAGACAAACAATTCACTGGAAAGGAGATGACGAAGATGAGGGAGAACGAAGGAGCGAAGAAAGAAGGAAGCGATGATATGATGCAATGCGGTAAGTAAAAATGACACGAGAATGTGACGGGCCCAGTCGTGTGAGGAGGCACACGGTCAAATCTGGTGGTTTCTTTGTTCGGAGATGACGGCCGTATAGAAGCAAGTTCGTATCCGATGGGAGATTTCTGAGGGTGTGAGTTGTCTAATCGGGTGGAGCGACTTTGAGAGTTGGTAAATAAGAGGCGTGCTTGGACGGGAAAAGAGGACCGTGAGTTGGTGAAGAAGACGGTCGTCAACTGCAAGGAGATGAAAGATGGGTGGTCGACGAGGAGGAGATGAGGGCAAGCGGGAAAGGAGGGAAAAGGGGGATGGTAGGATGATTTAGTTGGAGTGATTAATACTGTGCAAATGAGACATCTGGGGGAGAGGGGACCTTGACGCTCGGCGGAGAGAGTTTTCTTACAGGGCCCGAGAAGTGTGGGAGCGGGGCTGTGGCTGAGTTACGAGGTCAATGACGTCGATTCTGCCTCCGCTTTATTCTCAGAAGACGTGCCACTGGGTGATGTCATATCTCGGACTTGTGAAGAATTTCCGGGATGAAGTATTCCGTGTCATATGCATATAATCTACTCATTCTAACAGCCTTTGTTCTTTTTCTAATATTGCCAAGTCTGACATACAGCTGATCCTCCAAGAGATCGGCCGTTCCCACATCAGAAGCACGCGCCGTCCATTGGACCCTGACCGTTGAAAGTTCTTCGCATTCAGTCATTGCGCGTTTACAAAGTCTGTCCGATGTCACCAGTGTCCCAGGAGATCGTGATCAGGAAAGCTAAGGGTTGGCAAACCTTACGTGCTACTTTCAAGCAACACCTGTCTGGAATTCCAGAATCGCCAGAATTAAACTTGCACTGTCTGTATTTAGCAATGGCTAGAATGACGTCTCGTCGCCACCTGAACGTCAAAAAAATTCAGGGTAGTTCCGATATTCTTGGGACTATCTTCCTCATAAGGGACTGTCTGGCCAGATCTGATCAGGTCTGCGGCAGATCCCGAACAACGCATCATACAGCGCTGTGAAGCTGGGAACGTTCGTGGGAGAAACATTCCCACAGCAGGGGTTCAAGGAGCTTTGGGTGGGTAGCCGCTCGATTCACTTCATCGTCCTTGCAAATGCCAAACAGGACCGGCCGAATGCTATGCTGTTGGCATCACGGGCCAATTGCACGGCCCAATGGCTGAAGCATCCAAGGCTAGGAACATGAACCATATGCATAGTCATCTACATACACATGGGGGCAATCGACCTGAATCCTGATGAACAGCACCCCTTACTCGGCGACAACAGTGGTCTTCTCCGAAACGTAGATGCCGTCCAAGAACTTTCGGATATCTTTGTTGCGCACCCGGCATGCACCCTGGATTGAAGCAGCTATCACAGAAAGTGAGCAATGCGCTGGGGAAAGTCGCTCAAACCACACACCAGATTGCGAAACCATCTCAATATCGTTACCCTGGAGAATGAGCTCATCCTTTTGTGCCTTGGACTCCTGTATTGTCACACCCTCCAGCATGGCAACATGTCGGACAGTCTTCTCGCCAAGGAAGTTCCGGATCTCAACAGAGGTTTCACCGTTGGCGATGATGGTATTGATAGGGAAATGGGCGTAGACGGCACGCATTTTGTAGAGGAAACCCTGCACAAACCAATCAATACAATGGGATGGGTTCAAGAGACAGTAACGTACCTTCGTGACTCCAGTGATCATGTTCTCAATCAAACTCCTGACTGTCCGCAAGCAAGCAACATGTTTCCTGCCCCCTTGCCACACTTGTAGGAGAACACGGGAGGCCTTGGACGTCTTGACGAGCACGAGATCCATGTTGATGTGACGGACATTCTTCTTGAGTGTGCCGCGAGGACCAGTGACAGTGATGAGGCGGGACTTGATGTCAACGGTCACACCCTCCGGGATGGTGAGTTCTTCGGTGGAAAGGACGTCGCGCATCTGGTTGTTCGTAGGGTCAGAATGTGTTGTCCAAGACAGGCTGCCAACTATGGTAGAGACCACGTCCATCCACCCATCCACCGATCCATCCACTCCATCCCACAGCCTATACTTCTTCCAACACCACACTCCGGCGTCAAGACCTCTCCCACGCCATCTCAACGATGCAAACAGAGATACTCACGTCGAATGTTTTGGTGTCGGGACCGTTGTTGGCGTTGAGGACGACCTTTTGGGCGACTTTCTGGGCCCTTAGAGGTACGGGATCAGAATTGGGTAAATTGGTTCCTGTGCTTCCGCAGCCTGCCCTGAGCAACGGGATCTATTGGTCTCGCAGTGGCGGTTACGTTTCCACAGCATCCCTCAGCTCCTAACCACCACCTTCCGCAATTGCATTACTGCAGTGTGCCTGACTGTTCGTAAGAAGCCGTTCGACAGAACACAAGATTATTTCTTTCCTTTTGTCTGCTCTGCTGCTTGAGCGGTTTGGAAGGTCAGGAGCAAGTTGGCACAACAAATCAACTAATGACGGCTGCGATGTACCAACATCCTGGATATGGGCAGCCTGACTACCCTCAACAGCGATACCCTCCCCAACAATTTATGCCCCAGCCTGGTGTTCCTCTATATGCACAGTATTATGCCTATGATCCTGCCGCGTTCTATGCCTTTTACCGTGACCAGCTGAGGCAGCTTGTGCAGAACTCGCGACCGGTCATCCAGCAGCTTACACAACTGGCAATCGAGAACTTGGGACTTATGGGGCAAGTGGTCACCGACAGTATAGCGGACTACATACGGAATGTGAGTAATTTCCATACAGCGTCTCCCTTCGCAACGCGTTGCCGCTACGTCGACTGCCGCACCTATATCATGCGTAGCTCGTTAGATAGCATAGTCATACGAAACAATATTGGCAGACATGTCTGCGATCGTAGCTCAGTAGAGAGCTTTCTACATGCCCTCGCAGCTCACCCCAGGCACAAAGCCGTTTGGTGGTTTTCTGCCTGATGACAGTTCGAGTGGTTTTCCCTCATTGAGACGCATGATTGGCTTCCACGTTGCACATCGCCTGCGTAAGTATCGGATCAAAAGCTGACCCATTCTCGTCTAGGCACCTGTACCAGTCAAGCTTCCGGCGTTCTATCTGTTGGATAGTATCACGAAGAACTGTAATCCTTATGTCTCCTTATTCGCCCCTATCGTCAAGGACCTCTTCTTGCAGGCGACGCGGACTGTCGACCCTCAAACCAGGCAGAAGCTGTGCGAGATGCTTGTGACTTGGCGCAACGGTGGCCCAAATCAGACGCCATTGTTTGGAGACAAGGTGCAAGTCGCCATTGAGAGAGAGATCTGGCCCGAGTCCGATAGCAATGTGAGTCGTGTCCGTCGCCCGCTGGGTCGTCGCAGCACATGCTTACACTTGTGGAAGAGATATGGTCGTCGTCGACACGGACAATCATGCCCAACTCAGTCGCAAGTTCTTACTGAGCTTGAGGTGCTGTTAGCTCTGAAGGAGAAAGCGGTGCAGGATACTCCGTATGATGGGGAGTTACGCGGGCAGATGGACGCCTTATTCCAGGTACGTTAGGTCAACTTTGTCCCTTCGATCTCAGGCTGATGCATTGAGCAGCTTCGTAACATGGTTCAGGCTTCTGGTGTCACTCCTAATGAACTTGCGGAAATCCTTACGAGCGTCAGATCTCTTGCTAAGAGTATAGGAGCACCCGCTGCCCCACCCTCTCATGTCCCTTCGGCCCCCGCAGTGCCTTATGGTGCTCCGCAACAAGTGCCATTTTTCCAGTCCCAGCCCTCTACTACTCGGGCCTCCGTCATGCACTCCGACTTGTCTGCCTCATTGGCGAGCTTGGCCAAACTGGCAGCACCTCAGCCCGCTCAGAGTACTGCTACCACTGCCGCCGCTGCCCCTTCTGCTATTCCTGACATAAGTTCCTTGTTTAAGTCCCTCGTTGCCGCTGGCATCGTTCCATCCGCAGGGTCAGGCGCCGCACCGGCTGGTGTGACTTCTCAGGGTGATCAGAAGAGTGAGACGTCACCTGTGACTGACAGTGAATTGGAGGAAACATTGGAGTATGAGAGGCGTGTGCTGGCTATCGACATCAAATTGACAAGTGCGGATCTTATGAAGTGCGTCTACAACATGCTCACTCATGTGCAAGATACTGACCATTTCGCAGAGAGAGGCCGGAGGTCATTTCACTTCTGTATGATAGACAGACTACGCAATGCAAGCAGTGTGGTCTCCGTTTTCACGATAATGCGAAAGGAAAGAAGGCTTTCCAGGATCACCTCGACCAACACTTCAGACAGAACAACCGTACAAACCAACAGATGGGCAGAGGATACAGTCGAAGCTGGTTTATCGAGGCAGATGTGAGTAAAAGGTGTTGTCTTATAGGTTGGATGGCTAATTCGTTTCAGGACTGGGTACATGACGGTTTGCCCGACACAGGGGACCGGCTTCATGAACACAACGTCTCACGATCGGATGAAGTAGCCGCCAAGAAGAGAAAGGAACTTGAACGCTCATTCGTCGTCATACCTCCTGGAGAGGACACAAAACCGAGGTTCTGTCCTATATGCAAGGAGCAACTGAAGACGGAATTCTTGGAAGATGAAGAGGAGTGGGTTTGGAGGAATGCAGTGGAACACAAGTCCACTGTGCGTAGCTTTCCATCCTTGCAAGTAGTTCATTGGCTGAAACGCGGCCAGATATACCACGCGACGTGTCGTGCTGACGCGCTTTCGGCCACACTGGCGAATCGCTTGAGAACGGAGACCAAGGGTAGCAGCAGGGCTGTGACGCCAGAAGGGAGATCTGGCACGCCGCAGTTACAGGTTGGCAATGTAAAGTCCGAGACCAATGGGTCAACTGCGGCGGCCGGTGCAAAGCGTAAGGCAGAAGATGATGATGACGCGGTTGATGTTCACGTCAAAGTTGAAGAGGTGGAACCACCATTGAAGAAGGCGAGGCCTTCTATTAATTGAGCATACCTCGTTCCATTAGTATTCCACGCATTCACCTAACAACCAACAATGTACTTTATATCAATGCAATGTCATCCTGTCTTGTCATCGTTTCCAATCTTGAAGTTGCTCTATTTTAATTGGAGGACAGATTTCTTTCGTCGGGTTTACCCCACAAGAAGATGGTACAGCCTCGATCAGGGTCACAACACATACATGGCTCATCACTGCTTCTGGCACGTCCATAAATGAAAGCCCCACCTTCATCCGATTAACACGAACGACTTTTCTGCACCAAGGATGCCGTCTATAGCACACGTGAAGACTGTGGTGGTGTTAGCCTTGATTGTTGATCTGCTAGGTATGCACCGTCCACTCACCTGGTGCCAAATCCTGACGCGGCTCATTGTGTAGCTTTCACCATACCGCTACCTCTCTTCCCTCGTATTATTGAGTGGTACACACAAAAGGAACTCGGAGATACAAATGGACTCCTTTACCGGACGCTGGCGTCCATCCGCTCATTACAGACTTGGTTACATGGAGGGGTGTTGAACTCGAGGCGACAGTGGGATGTGGTGCTGCTGGGCGGTTTTCTGGGATCTGTTTTCTCGTAATGTCATCTTCAGCCACCGGAGTGATGAAGACTCTGAGATTTTCACAGCGTACTACAGTTTGTCGTCAGCCCTTGGATTGGGTCGTTGTCTGGTGCGCCCACAACCCCCATATGCTGGCCAGCACTTTGCTGACCCAATCGCCTCATCTGATTAGATGCATACGGGCGAAAACCTATCCTCCTGATCTCTATGATTGGAAACATCGTCTCTGCTGTTGTCTGGTATGATGTCGTCTTTATTCACCACTTTTGCATGTTGATCAACCTTTAGGATGCAATCCACCTCGTTTGTACGTATCATCGTGTTGTTCTGATGGTGCCAAATCTCACCTTCGTGAAGACCTCATTTCTGCTGGCACGCGCCACTGGGGGGTTCAGCGAGGGAAATGTGCAATTATCTATGTAAATGCGGTCGAGTGATCCCTCGCTTTATTGACTGAATCACGAAACAGCGCTATTCTCTCAGATGTGACCGAACCAGCGAACAGAGCTCGTGCACTTGCTTTGGTCGGTCTTGCTTTTGCTCTCTGTTTTTCGACTGGTCCCGTCCTCGGTGCATACTTCGCCCAAAGGCCGTTCCCTTTGACGATCGGTCCATTCGCCCATGTCGATCTCAATATATATGCAACCCCGGCTGCGTTGACTGTTATCTTGCTGACTGTGGAAACCATATTTCTCGTCTTCTTCCTCCCAGAGACACGAGGGTATGTGTTGCCGAAACTCCCAGGCTCGTCGTCGGAGAAGAAGTCCCTATCTACAGTATGTGCTGACTGAGTGGTTTCAAACGTTTCCGTGACGTTTGCCTTTAGGAGGCCGAAGTGGACGAAGATACTGGGTTTGTACATGCCCCAGCTGTGACTGGCTCTTCCGGGACGGTACAGCAGCGACTAACCATTCTCAACCTCCTGCGCTGGACTCATTTCGCATTCCTCAGCGTATTCTCGGGTAGGTGATCAATGTTCCCCTGTGATCGGTTCTTACGATTGCCCAGGCGTGGAGTTCACCCTTACTTTCCTCACCTTCGACTTATTTGACTGGAACAATTCTCAAAATGGAAGGATGCTGGCTTTCATCGGTGTCATCAGTGCGTTACTCCAAGGTGGCTATGTGCGACGGTCGATCCGCAAGACTGGCGAAGGTGTTATGGCTCGCCGAGGTGTGATGAGTTGCGTTGTCAGCTTTGCCGTTCTCGCTGTGCTTCCCCATGCGGGTACTTCCGGACCCCGGATTATCTACGCAGCGGCAGTTTGCTTAGCCTACACTTCTGCCACTGTCGTGAATTCTCTCACAGCACTGGCGTCGCTTCAGTGTGACGAACCTTCCAATGATCCGTCATCGGTATTTGACAGAGATCCGCGTCTGCTGAAGGGCCGTGCACTTGGTGAGTTCCGATCAGCCGGACAGCTGGGCCGCGCGATTGGGCCACTGCTTGGTAAGAGTGCAAACTGCCAGTTCGGTATTATATTCGCTCATCCAATTCTAGCCTGCGCAGCTTATTGGACCGTTGGACCGTCTTTCACATACGGGGTATCCGCGTTGGCGATGTTCGCCCTGTCGTCAGCAATGCGTAGAATTGCAGTTAAACCGAAAACAGAATAGAATCACTATGGATGCAGAATAACGGAGTCCGTTGGTAATACATAATGCTATTTATCCATACAGATATCCAATGCCTATTGAACCCCATAGCCATCCTACACGACCGATAACGGCTTCCATAACCCTTGCGTGGCTCCCTCGATTGATCCACCAGATGTGCTCATCGCTCTTGATCTGGAGGGACCCCTGATCGGAATGGCTGTAGGTGCCGCGCTGTCTGTCGCAAGAAGTAAGTATTTCCCAGGCGCTAGCCCGAGGCTAGCTGAGGAAGTTCTGGAACGGAGAACGACAGGATTTGCAACCGGAATGAGTGGAGCTTGTTCTGATGGCGGCGTCATTACCGGTCGGGGATCTTCTTGCAAGATGACGCGTGGGCGGTATGTGAGACAAAAAACGCCGAGGAATGTTGTGGCACAGCCGTAAAGGAAGGTGATAAATCGGTGCAGTTCCATATCCTCGAAGTCACGGTATAGAATCGCAGATCCGACGATGGCGGAAAGATTGAAGAAAACGAATTGGGTGGGTATAACAACCTTGTGCAACGTCAGTCTGATAAGATCACGGGATGCAGGTGTAGATACGGACTTTGCCCTCGAACTTCTGCAAGGCACGATTGAGGTATTTGATCTGTCCGATTGCCGTTCCGGCTAGAACGACCAGGAAAGGGTATGTGATCCAGTCCCTGAATATTGGGAATCCTTTGTATGTGAGCATGGAGCTCACGCCTTTTGTCGATAGAACTGTGAAGCCTCCTAGACACATTGTTGAATGAGCCCCCGACATTGCCCAATTACATCGAGAAGCTCACCGAACAACGCACATATTCCAACATCAACCAGAACATGAGCTTTACCGTACTCTCGGTTGGATAGAATCATCAAAACAATAACAGAGACTATGTAGACCGCGGTGAATGCAATAAATCCTGGTTGCATGATTGCTTTGATGAGTCCATCTGGTGTAAGCTGCGTTTGGAATCAGGCAGTGTACCATGCACCAGAGCTGAAGAACGCACCCTGATGTCATTAGATTGACTGGATGCTACTACAGTCAAGGCGCCAATTATCGCAAGGGCAACACCAAACAGCTCAAGCTTGCGCAATCTCTCGTGCAGTAAGAGCGGAGCGAAGACACAATTGGCGATGAGGGCGACCTGAACAACAGTCATGCTCAGTCTCATTTAAAATGCGGGAGGAAAAAGTGACCCACAGTTCCTAATGGTGCAACAATGGACGCAGGGGCGTAGGCATAAGATAAGAAATTTCCGGTCTCTCCCACACCCATAAGCAAGAACCCGGTCCACCATAACTTGCTTGACAAGTAGTGACGGTCGGGCCCATTCTCCTGAACTGGGGCTTCGCCCTCTTCTTCATCATGCTCCGCAATGGATGGATGCCCGATCGAATCGTAGCGACGAATGGACGGAGTACCTTGTTTTAACAGACGAGCTGATGGTGAGCTCCGATTATCCGGTCTGTAGAAGGCCCGAGGTGCATGCCGGCCATTATATGTGCTAGGAGCGCTGAGGATGATCTTGGGCGCCTTGGGGCTTCCCATCGGGTTCGGTAGCTCCTCGGTCGGGGAGAATGTGGGAAAGTGCATTCTGCCATTCTCATCGGGTAAGGTCGATTCTCCATTCCCAATCGGTGTCGGTGTCTCCGTTCCATTGAACGTCTCCGCGCCGTCGCTGCCTCCCTCATTCCAGGTCCCGTTCAGTCTCTGATGAGCTAGCTTCTGGAGGTTGAGAGCAAGGCTGATGACCACATTGCCAGCGATTGCAACGCCAATTCCAATCCATGATATGGCACGGTCGGGCTCGAGATTATCGTCTAAGGCCATCGAGGTATCATGAGAATACAGAGGGCGAGGTGATGGAGAGAGGGCGCCGACCGGCTGCGCCCGTCCCTTATATCCTCGCCACCATTCGCCGAAAATAGTCATTTGTTCTGACACACCATGCCCACCTTTGCCGATCAATGGAACGCTCATGTTCCTGCAGATATCGTGCTCTCTCGACATGCAAAAATAATTACTATCTCTGGTGCGACCGATGAGGTTCGGGAAGTGGACGACGATGGACACAAATTTGATTGGTCTGGTGACTGCGAGATGGAAGACGCAGAAGCGCTGAATGTTGTCGACGATGTCAGGAATGTCAGGGAAGAGTGGGAACAATACAGGAGCAATGATCCAGACTACTGGGAAGATGCTATGGACATTGACTACGAGGTCAGCACCGGCGTTGAACGAGTGGAATGTGAATTGACGCTTTCTGTAGTCAACAGGAGGGCACGACGCCATAAGGATGGTCATCGATACAAACATCTTGTTGTCCTATCTTGATCGATTAAAAGAGGTTCATGACATTCTACGAGACGCTGGCATGCTCAACATGATTGAACTGGTTATACCTGGGATCGTCTTGGAGGAGTTGGACGCTCAGCACAAGCGTCCTCACCCCTCCAAACCGGAACTGCGGGAATCTGCTGGAGCTGCTACCCGATGGCTGTTGGGAGAAATTAAAAGGAGAAAGTCCGGAGAACCCTCCATGATTCGTGTGCAGAAGGATGGCGAGACGCATATCGACAACATTAGCTGGAAAATCAGCACTGCGGTAAGTAGGCGACATCTGATCCGCCCGTGCTCAATTAACGCCGGCCTAGAATAACGATGATATCATACTTGATTGCTGTCAATATTTTGCCAAGTCGGCGAACAAGATCTATCTGATGACGGACGATGTTAATCTTAGTACCAAAGCCGAAGCCAACGGTGCGACGATCGTTCCTTCATCGTTAGCTGGAAACTAACGGCGAGCCAGATATACGCACACTTAATCGCTACGACTTGCGCAGCGCGCACAGCTTCGTGGAGCACTTCGTTCCCAACGCTCTCACTATAAACCCGAACGGCCATCATTCTCCAAATCGTCAAAAGCAGAACGGGGTAAAGGGGAAGCAAGAGCATGACCACGCCTCCCATCATCATTCTCGTGCCACGGCTAAGGCTTCCACCAAGCAACACGCAGGTCCAAAGGACAACGTTTCGAAGACATCCTCACTCCCAGGCGGGAAACTCGACCGTCCTGCTCCCACTTTTCCTATTCATTCGGGGACAAAAAATCCCATGGAGGATGTAGACTTGGGGGTGCAGCCCGATCCTCCGTGCTCTCCTGGGGATCTCCATAAACTGTTTCTTGAATATCTCACCGAATATCTTCCCGCGGAGACTGTTAGCACACTCAGGAAACTAGAATCCGAACCGTCAAACTGGCAGTCCTGGTCTTCTAAGGCCTGCATAGAGGAGCTAAAGCAAGCACGGCCATCCAGGCCTCCCCCCGCACCGATCGAGTGGACCTGTCTCCTTGCCTTTTGTGCTAGACCAGGTGAGAGTGGCTACCGGGCGAATGGCGGGGGAAGGGGCGACTGGGAGAAGGCCATCCGTATGCTTCGTCTGGTTGGGGAGACATATGGTTTGTCCGTCTGCTTGGGCGATGCATCGCTCCAAAACCTCGAGAAGATGATGCTGTCATCCATGGGTTTGGTTGTCTCGCGATGAACTTCATCTGCCACTCGGAGGTAACTTGTCTTCTCATCTTTCACTTGTGCCTTTATCGACATACCACATCAAGATTAGATTTATCTGGCAATCACTGCATCTCTCTGGTCACATACCTGGACACGGCATTCTCGCATTTCTCCGATCACGCACACTGGACATGTCATCCCTGCATCATATTCCCATTTAGCACCTGCTATCCGATTTGTACGCGCAAGTCAAATAATCCAAGCATTCATGTCAATGATATTCCCATCTCTTCTAATATATCCTTGGTGTGGAGATGAGACGTTACGCTATAAGCTATGATACAACGCTACAGATACAATACAAAGTCGTGTTATGCCACGCGCTAACCATGATGATATACGCTTCTCCAACCAGCTCATCCGTACGATGAAGTTCGTAATAAAACGTCCTCCAAATGAAGAGATGTGCTCGCCTAGCTGGATCCAAGATTCTTGGCATGTTCATTCGATGAGACCCGTTGCTGGAGGTCGGTGCGCCTCCTGCGGATCGGTTTTGGTGCACTGCGCGACGCACGGCACAAAGCTCGGGTATCGTATGTAATAGAAAGGTGATAAATAGGTTTCGTCCCTTCTGGATGATCCAATCCGAGGGTTGGATGCTCATGTCGATCGGCTCCAAGGCGAGGAATAGCGACATCTCTCAAGTCTACCAGAAGGGGTTGGTTGGGCAGGAGTCGATCACCGCCACCATTCCTTCTCTCCCAACTCCTCCTCCCCATCCCCTAGCCCGTCATCCCAGCCACTATCATACGGCGGCGGACTCCCCACCAGCCCTGGCGAAAGCACTCTCCCCCCAATCAGGGGCACATCATCGTACCCAGCGCCAATATCATCATCTTCCTCGTCCGCGGTGTGCACACCTTCATTGGTGCGGGGACTGCTGCGGGGATGGGCCGGGCGAAGGATGTCCGGGAGGAGGAATAAGAGGCTGCGTTTTGTTCTACTTGAGGTTTTAGACTTGGAAGAGTAGGATCGGAAGGAGAGGTGCGCCAACACCCTCGAGGGCCTCTTAGCCCAGCGCGGCCGCTCGCCCTCTGCCGGCTGATCCAGGTCCATGCTAGATAGGTGCAGCGACCCCCTGCTTTCGGTAGGGGACGGTCCTGGACTACCGTACCAACTCGCGTACGGGCTACTAGTCGCCGAAGAGGGCAGGCTGAACGTCGTTCCTCCCAGTTCGAGGTGGCGGCCCGTGCTGTCCGTATAGATCCGGGGGAGGATGTCGGACCTGCCTAACCGGCGCCAGCGGCCAACAGTGGTGGGGCTGCCTAGCGCACGAGAGAGGGGAAGGGAGAGAGTACGATGTTTTGCCCGCAGCTTGAGGAGAAGTAACCGGGCTGCTCCGGCGACGAGGACGAAGAGTGATATGTACATGATCAGTGTGCCGTAGGAGCCGAGGAAGAGCACTAGGCCCGCGTCGTCCGAGTGCCAGGAGGAACCATAATAGTGCTCGAAGAACGCGTGGGGCGCTTCCTCCGGGCTCGCGTTTTTCCCGTACAAGCTCTTGGGAAGGACGCGTACTTCCCCCTCCAGAGTGCGTGGGTACCCAGAAACAGAGGTGTACAGCCCGTAGATGGAGCTGATGAACATCGGCCCTGTGGAGAACATGACCGTGGGGTAGTTCATCATCCAGGTATGGTCGAAGGACTGGAGGCTGTCGATCGCCCGTCGCATAAAGGGGTGGCGGGGTGCAGAAAGCATGAGGTCGTTTGACACGCCTACGGGGATCGTCTTAGGCAGGACGGCGGGGTAGGAAAGGAGGCGGTCGAGCCGCCGCTTGCAGCCGACGTCTAGGTCCAGATAGGTGCCGCCGTAATGGTACAGGACGAAGTAGCGGATAGCGTCAGCCCGCATGATGGGGTAGGGGTAGCCGTCGAATGTGAGCAGGAACCAGGGGTAGTGCTCTTCTATGAAAGAGCGGGAGGCGGCGTCTGTCCAGAGCATGTACGCGCTGAGCCTGGTGTTAGCTGGTGTTCTTCGAGAGGGAGGGACGAGAGGCGCACTAATCTGGCATGAGCTCCCTGCACCCCTCTGAGACGCTGGCCCATTTCTCGGGCAGCGTTTCCTCCTTCCACGTCTGGTGTAGTATCCGCGGTATCCTCTCCCCCGGCAGTGGCACACTAGAAACGTTATCTGGCGGATCAGGCCATGGGATGTCCTCCTCCGTGAGGTAGGCCGAAGCGTCGATTCGCAGGAAGAGGGAGATGGAGGTGAGAAGGATGGTGGTACCCAGCAGGATAGTGCCGAGCACGGAGAGGAGGATAAGGAGGGTGCGGCGGGTCATGTCTTCGTGATGGGCTCTATCGAAGTGGGGAGACGACCAAGGTGCAAACTTAGCTCGGAATACACTGAGCTGGTAGGTCTTCGTATCGTATTATAAGGTCATTCACTGGGGGCCAATGTCGTGAGGCATGAGAGAAAGTCTGCGGGAAGCCGTGCCAGTTCATGAATGAATAGCTTGGGAGAGAGTGACAGGGGACATAAAAGTGATGACGGTGCTGCGCAGAGAGTTCCCAGAGCTGCCGGAGTGTTGAAGGCCGAGAGATCGTAACGCATGAATTGATGACACCTGGTAGTTGGCAAGTGCGAGATAGCCAAGGGGTGAAGACGCCAGATAGCAGTGCCCAAATGCGGGAATTCCCCACAAGACCCAGCCCGTCAGACTCCCGCGGGACCAGCCGTTTGGATTATCACGTGCAGGCATTTGAATCGGCGATTCCGCAGTCAGGCACACCACGCGGAATGAAGCCACCGGCGTATGACGTACTTACTGCATTGTACACGGAGGCTCGAACGACCACTTTTCTGCATTCATTCATCAGCCAACGGTTGGGGTATAAGTGATCAGACCCAGACGGAATTACTTGACAGCCAACGTCAACTGTGCCCGTATCTCTGCCAGATATGCGGGGCGTCATCACCCTATCACTTTATCAGCCAGCTTATCGACGTGACAAGAACACGCGTTCGCTGGGCAGGCTGGGAGATTTCATTATGCGCCGATAAGGGGCTGGGATACAGCACCTGGATGTCAGATGTGTCGCTCACAGCACATCAGCAATCGTTGATCCAAGCGGCTCAGCGGGGACCGAGCGCACAATCAAATTTCGTGGTTCACTTCAGTCCTGATCGGCCCGTTCTGGCCTTCACAGCTCGGCTTTTCGCATTTCAACGCGTCATCTGCCGACGGGAGGGGGGATACACGTTCAGCACGTGCGAATATGTGTCTCGCGTGCACTGCTTGGTCTGGATGAGAATGTATTGATCTCTGGATCATGTCTGGGCCCAGTTAAACTTACCGGGTAAACTGGGCTGGGCGTTATATGCTGACCCCTTTGAGATTTCGTACGAGTCTTGTAATTAGGAGCCAAATCTTGTAATTGTTGTTGTAGCTGTAACGTCAGCCTTGTGGGATGCGCAGCATCTATTTCAAGCTGAAATGAATATATGACCACCCGGCCGCCGTGCACTGATCGACGGAGAATCGTTGAGATTGTCCCACCACAGGTCCGGCAACTGACACTCCGCAGCAAGCACGAAAATAGATTCAGACGTTTAAATGTCCCAGTCGACCGAGCTGCCGAGTCGACAGACGTGAACACAAAATACCACATGATCCAGTCTCCCCAAAGGAGGTGGCAAGAGACTACCGATCAGGAGGGTGAAGAGGTTCCGAGGGGGATTCCGACGTTCCGAGCGGTTGTGGTCTGTGCGCGTAAAGGAGATACGTCATGAAGTAGGCGCTCGTTCGTCATGTATCACGGGCTCCGTACAGCGGCTCTGGCGCGCGTGTTCTTGTCACGGAAAACGCGTTGGAGGTTTTAGCCTCGTGGAGTTATTTGATATGGTCAGTTTGACCAAAGTTCGGCAGATCTTCTTCAATCACGGAACGCTCATCCTACATATGTTAGCGCATCCATAAAGGGGCAACCGAAGAGAACAAACGATGCCAGTCAAAGTTATGTCGCCGACGTCTGTGGGATCCATACCGAAAGTGACTCCGAAAAGCAGCTCACGATGTGCAGACCGCTCTCAAATATTAAGACACCAAAAATGTTGTCGGTTTAACTCCGTTACGTGACTGAGTCCGATCTGAGGCTGGTGTATGATGACGGTGATATGGGGTATATGACGGTCCGTCCGGCTCCATTGGCAAAGAAAACGCGCCGTAATGTGCTCAACATTGACATCATCCCTCCTCGGCTTGCGTCAAGGATGCGTGTTGAGGGGACCACATCTGTCAACCGCAAGTAGGACGTCGACAGAGACTGTCTCATTTAATCAGAGCACCCATCTCAAGAAAACGCGCATTTTCCCAGCTTTGTGCGAGAGTAATAACACGAAAGAAAGGAAGGAACGCGTGGGGATGACCCGTCCCTCATGGACCGGAAGCATTCATGTACGGGAAGCAAGAGCTGCCACGTCTGAGGGTCCCTCACTGCCTTCCCCCTTCCTCATCACTGCCCTTGCCCATGGTCATCCCCTCACATCTTTGTTCACCTCATTGAACTTCCCTGCCAGCTTCTCGTTCAAAGATAAATCTGTTCTCTCACTGCATCACCCATATTGCCCAGCTACCACCTGCCTAGCTTTCAGGGGATACTGTCAACAGCTTAAGGCTTGCCTTCACCATCGTCAACCATTCCCTTCTTGCTTGCATGCTTCCCTCTGCCAGCATTCTCCTTCCTACCCCCAACACCTCATGATGCTCACCTGCAGGTCCCCTTATAAATCCTATGATACCAAAGGTGCATGGCAGCACCTCATTGCCCTTTTTGCACTGCTCACCATTTGCATAGGTTCCATTTAGCTCAAGTCACACCACAACATGTTTTCCCTGTGTTACCCAACAGTTCCAGGCATAGGGGAGATTCCAGCACTGTTCTGACAGTGCTGGATGCTGAAAAAATCATTATGTACACTCCATTTGTCCCCTTAGATAGTAATTACACTTTCCTTTCTGGCACAACTCATGCTGCCCTTCACCTCCAATATGTTTGCACCCTTGCTTGCACACATGAATGATTATTACACTAACTACCACATGAGAATCAAAGAGACATAGCTATCATACAGGATGAGTGAACTTAGTCATCCCCAGAGCACACGACGGCGAGCATGGTTCTCACACAATAGTAGACCAATTTGGTGCAATCAGCCACCATCTTCAGCCATTTCTCCCAACAACCCTTGTGGTGCTCCTCACCTTGCCCTCCAGCAGGGTCACCTTTGGGATCCTGTTGTCATCATCAGTGTCAAGCAACTCTCTTCAATAGCACACACACCACCATGGGGCCCAAATGGACAGCCTCAGACTCCCTTGCTACCAAAACTCATTTGTTCATATCCTGCAATCCAAGTCAGATTCACTGACCATCCCATAGATGCAAGACCAGCTTACTTTAGTCACCATACTCACACGTCCCCCCCCCCCCACCACACACTCCAGCGCTTGCATTCCACCCTTCCATTGTTCCCAAGTGAGACAAGCCTTCCTGCATATATGGAACTTTTGCATCAGCTAGCCAGTCAAAGATGAACTTGCCAAAGTCACCTACCTGGTTGAGATGGATGTCATCCCCACCATTATGCCCCGTGTTCTCCATGCCCTTACAGATCTATAAATGGGTGAGTATTCCTTTTGTTAATGATGCAAAGGTTGTTTCACATACCTGAACACATGCATTCCTCCCACCTGCTCCCCTGTCAGGGCACTGCCTGTTACCACCCCTGGCCACCCATTTTGCCCTAGGAGCAATGAAACAACAAGCCCCTGGAACTTCCTGTGCTGGTAACTGCCTTAGGATGATGGCAGTGGCCATACAAGACATTGTGCAGAGGACACCACAAGACCCCTGTGTCCAGACACTTGGGGTGAGACATAGCGGTGCTAAAGGCCCCTACTGGGAGTAGTGGGACGCAAGATGACACTTGTAGGAGTCTCCACAATTTATTGGAAAGGTTTGGGAGGCCTAGGGGTGTTGCTAGGACGTCTATCTGACACTTGTAGGAGTCCCCAGAATTTACCTGGGCTCCTGGGCTTCTGGTGAACACCTACAAGGTATATAAACAGTAGTACAGTGACACTGTATCCCTCAGATTTGATCTCTGAGGAAACTCCTTAGTCTACAAGCAGTTTCTAAGTCATCTCATCATCTTGAACCCCCTTCTACACACACCTGAACACCCTGCTCTCAGAAACCTGCCTTGACTCCACAACTCTTGCTACACTTTTCAGCTATTTATAACACTCCCTGGGACCCCCCCAATAATCCAGCTGGCCCTGGTGATGTGGATATCGACTAGTACTGCTGGTTAGAGCCGCTTTCAACCACAGTAGACCCCCCAGCACTTCATCTATTGTTTGGGATTAGTGTGTGGTGACCTTGCTAGACCTAGTGCCCTCACATCCCCCTGCATATATGCTGCCCGGGTCCCCCACTGCCGCTGAGACCTCTTCACCCTCCTTGACACTTGATCTGGTATTCTGTGTAGGTGTGAGTAAGCATACATACACAGTGACACACATATATGCACACCTTGCCATCCACCAAGCTCCCCTGTCTGCTCACATGTGCATGTCTGGCCATGGAGAGCTGCCATGTATCCGTAAATGTTCCACAAACAACTGACTTGACAATATTAGCTGCTTACCTGTGCTTCCTTTCCACCATCTTCCTCAGCAATGGGGCCCTTGTCCATGACCCTCAACATCACAGCTTCATTGCCCTCTTCAGCATGTGCAGTCCATCCATGCAGCCCTGTGAACATCTTGGAGAAGACTAGAACACATGTGTTATTAAAGATGATATGAAGATTAAAACCACTCACTTGCCTTGCATGATGTGGTATGTATTGTCCATTACTTGATGTAGTAGAGCAGTGTTGAGACTAATGTTATAAAGAATGATGAGGGTCAGAGTCAAGACCAGCAGTATGGGGTTTTTGTGGCAGCTGGTCTCCAGGCCCCTGCACAGCACAATCAACCCATGCATCCCTCCATTGTTACCCCTCCCTTCCCGCCCAAACTTCACCACGCACATTTATTCCTGTGTCAATATGTTGAGTATTGGCACACAAATATACACAGGTGTCATGTATGTTCTATGTGTGCAAATAATCAATCTGTGCCAGGGGATATGGGAGGTGGACTTTGCCCTGGCACTTATGACCACACCTGGTAGGGGAAGAAGTTCAGATGTATATGTTCACCAAACATTTTCTGTCTGTACTCACCCCAGCCTGAATCAACCCTGCAGGTAGCATGTTGCCCATCATGATATATATCCATTTCAATACCAGGGCACTTGCATGAGTAGTTGTGGCAAGTGTGAGTACAGTGAGGGGAGTGTGGAAGAGAGAGACAAGGGGACAGTGCTGGCAACCTGTGGCCAAATCAATTCTGGGCCAAGAGGCTGTGTGCTTTCTCATGTGCCAACTATCCACAGTTTACATAATACAAGGGCCACATCATCATCTTCCCCACTATGGGCTTTGATCCCCTTGATCCCTTCCCTCTGCTGACCTTGCAGGTTGCTTGTGTTGGATATTCGATTTGTTCCCCAATTGCCAGTCTGTCAGGGGACATCCCTAAAATCAATTGCAAACAGCTACATTCAACAATGATCAGAGCACTGTCACATGGCATGACACCCCAAATGACAGCCAATACTATAATCACCTGACTCCAAGAAGGACATATCCCAGAACATGAGATGTCAGTCATAGATCATAGGGGACCAACCAGACAAGAGACACGAGGTGCCTGCCCTAAGCAAGCTGTATAGTCAGCCACAGACTTTGCTTCCTTTTTACTTCCATACATAGATATATATAGAACCCTAGGTATAGCCCCTGTAGCTCTTTAGGGCTAATCTCTTAGGAACCCCATGGTCCAAGGTCATTAGGTTCTAAACACAAAGCTTTAATCATTCTAAATGTGCACACAACACACACACAATCATGCCTGTCAGCTGCCAATCCCCACTTACTCTATAACACCCCTGTCAATCCCTCTGTTTGTGAACAAACATTGAGGCATTGATTGACATATGACTCACTACTTTCTGATTTGCTCATTGCCTGTTTGGTTATTTGATCATCAATGATTGTTGGATTGTGTTGCCCTCACACAGTCCCAATCTTTAATCCTCTAATACCTCCTTCATCTTTCCCTCAGTCTCCCACTTCATTGACCTTTGGGCTCTATTTATGCATTGCACTTGGTTTGCTCTTGAAACTGTTTCCCAGCATATTTTGTACTACACATTATCTCATGTGATACACTTGTTCCTTATCCCGCAAGACCAGTTTGTCATTAGGGCATGGGGGGAAGCTGTGAGATGGTCTGGATTACCTCATCTGTCATAAAAACACTGCCAAAAATGGTATTAGATTAGCCTTATACAGAGGTTCTGTTCACTGCAGTGGGCTCTTCAGTCTGTCTGCTTGGCCCTCTGACACACTGTGCAGATGCTCTGCACATGGCAGTTATACCTGGTGCAGTCTCCACAGTGTGGAGGTGCCCCACTTCCTTCAGCCTGTCAATGGCTCACTGCTTTCCATCTAGTGAGATGCACTCATCCAGTCAACATCCTTCACATGGTCAATAGTTGCAGCTGACCATCCTGCATATGGAGGGCCATCTCCCCTCCCAGCCAAGTGAGAGGGCCACCCCTATATGCAAATGATGTCTGACTGCCTTTCATGATGGCATCTTGCATGCTTCTTCCATACCTCCACAGAGCCCCAAATTCCCTTAATAGGGCTATATTGTTCCAGTCAGCACACTGTCACAAGTGAAAGATTTGTGCCCATACCACTTCACACTGCAGGTGCTCACCCCATTCTATATTTTCACTCCTTTTTCGCTTGCATGCCATCCTGCAACAATATGTGCCTTTGGCATAAACTGCTGGACTGGAGACATGAGTCAGATAGAGGGCCACACTCATGCCTGGGTGCATGGCCTGCCACTCACCCACAACTGGAAACACATCATTCTGCCCCACTACCACAAATGTTACCCACTGAGCAGCATTATCAGTATCTGCATTAGCTGGATTGTCATCCTGCTCACAATGGGTCCTGGCTGCACCATGTCAACTAGCAACATCACGTTCGCCCCAGGATGGTACACCCCTGCAAAAATGCTCCGACCACTTAATGGTACTTGGAGCCATCCTGACACAGATGGGGTGCTGCTTTCTTTGGTGGTGGAGAACATAATCATCTAACATCCACCTCAATCCAATGTCTCTCCCACAAAGGCTCTTGCTCACCATCATGCCTGCCTTTGGTATGCAGATGTGGATGTACACTGCCATCCCTGGGGGGTGCAATCCCACCCAGACACTAACCCCTTCTAACAACAGCACCACTGGTATCATTTTGTACATGTCCTTGGTTTGATTACACTAGTTCCCTTTGCAGTGGTAAGGGGTGGATGGCAAGGCACTGTGGACAAATCTGAATCTGTCAATGCTCTGTGGACAGATCTGAATCCATCCACATGGGTCTGGATTGCCTCCAGTGAGCAGATGATTGATTGATTGATGGGTGTTGTACATGTCTGTCCATGGTCCACATATGACATTGACCATACACTTTATTTACATGTGTACTTCACTGTCCTCCACCGCCAGCCATTCAAATCCAGGCACCTCTTCAGTCCAGCCCATCTTCAAAACCTGGTGAGAGCTCATAAATGATGTCTTGCCCACAGATCCTGCTATGGGGCCATACACTCAATGCATTGCCTCCCAAGCCCTCATACACTGAGGAGCCTGCACATGCCATAATTGCTTGCATGTGTGGTAGAGGCTAGTCAGGTCATATAGGACTGGATTGTCTAATAGTACCATCACCACTGCCAAGCCACCCATCATGAGTCCTGGGCCAGCTGCCACCTCTGCCCAACCATCTGCCCAAGGGTCACCTTTCAATGCCTTACATGCTTGGAGAACCAGCCCTCCTAGCCATTCTGTCATCATGCTTTCCTTGTGTTCAAAGATAGGTACTTGCAGCGCTTGAACAAAATTGAATTGCAACTGAACCTTGTGTCCTCACATCTGACCATGCTTTGCTAGAGACTGTAGACCTGTCAGGGCACCAGCTCATTGCTTGGTCAAGAGACATGACTAAGCCTTTATGACATG